CACTCACGCACGCACAATCGCTATATAAATTCGTCTCATACCTCAATTTTTCCGATGACCGAGCTGATATCATATCCTTATCAAACAGCTAGATATAATTATCTGTCTGGCTGAATGGAACCAGAAACTGTGGGGAAAGGTCGTTTGATTGAAAAACTGGTATCTTTAGTTAGATATTTAATAAATCACGCGTCGGAGACGTGTACATCCGAATTTTTACGTCGCGTCGTCGGTCGTGTATAGATAATTTGACCTAACATTTGACGTTCGATGTGAACAGACGTGTGCATTATACATACTGTTGAATTAACGCAAGAGTGACCTACTAAATTATTTTTGCTTAGTTTGAAATTTAGTATTTTATAATGGAAACATAATCATATTTGAATAAAAATGGATAAAAACCCGAGCAACCTGGCTTCCTGTGCCTCACCAATAGAAAGCAGCCGTAAATCTGACTTCTCTATAGAAGCTGTGTCCACGCCCGACATTCAGAACTGGATGGCAAGCATTGAACAGCAGTTAAATGAAGTATGTGTCATTGCAACGGAAGGCAAACTGAATTCGGAGCAAAAGCTTAGAATATCAAACCTGAGCCGTAAAATTGGAGCTGATGTCTCGCAAATGGCTGTCCTTTATCAAGCTCTGAAGCAGCAAGCTCGCCTAGCCGTCAACATAATTGATGAAATGAGAGAAAACTGTGACCTTTCGGAACAAATTGACGAGATTAAAAAATCTCTCAAGGACTCAACTACAGCCAAGACTGTGTCTTTTGCGGACATGGTAAGAAAAGGATCCGATTTCGTTCGACCAAACAATCTGGCCTCTGTCGCTGTGTATCCGGCCAATAAATTGAAAACTAGCGAGGAAACTAAAACTATGGTGCAAACACTTATAAGTCCTAGTGAGATGAAGCTGCACGTGCGTGGAGTCCGCAAGACACAAAACGGAGGTGTAATAATCAGCACTGAGTCGAAACAGGATGCTGAAAAAGTGAAGAATGCAGTTGGCCTGTCGTTATCCGGTCTTCTCGCAGACGAACCTAAGAAGCGCAAACCACGAATCGCAGTTATAGGAGTGCCGTCGACAATGACTGATACTGACGTCTTCAGGTGTATTTATGAACAGAACGTGTCTGACAAGCTCCCGGAGATGACAATGGAGTCTTTCTTAACATCAGTCAAGTTAAGTCACAAATCGGGAAGAAAGGATGCACCGACCTGCAATTTCATCATCGAAGTTCCAGGCAAGATACGTAAAGCCCTTATATCCCAAGAGAGAATTTACATCAATTGGACTTCTTGCCCCGTCAGAGACTTTACGCTTGTAACGCGATGCTATAATTGCCAACTATATGGACATGCAGCAAAATCATGCAGGGAGATCAACTCATCGTGTGGCCATTGTGGAGAAGCAGGACATGTACAATCCTCGTGCACTAAAAAGTCGGAATCCCCTAAATGTGCTACATGCTCTCGTTACAATAAGCCGAATAACCATAAAACCGGAGACACTGACTGTCCGGCTAGGAAAATAGCTGAATATAGGTACATCAACTCTATCGATTATGAGGACGCGTAAAGTGTCATACTCTCGGATTACAGAGTTGATTAACCTTCCCTTGCACATTAGTTAACATCGTAATAAGTTGGCGTACTCAACAATTTGTTGCTGTTCAAGCGTATTTTATTGTAACACCAAGTGAATGACCGTTTGGACTGTAAACTAGATTATGTTTCTGTTGATGTATCAAATTCTTCAGTACTATAGTTCCTCCAATGTTTTATATATATATGTATATCTATGTTTTGTATTTAAGCTAATATAATTACTTGTTTAATAAATGTACTTATACGATAACATCATAACATCACGCCTTTTATCCCAGAAGGGCTAGGCAGAGGTGCACACAGAAGTAACACCCACTTTTCACTATTTATGTTATAAGTCCCATGTAATAGGGGGTGAGCCTATTGCCATATACCGGGCACATTTCCAGACTCCGTGCTACTACTGAGATTTTTTTTATAAAAAACCCAGTAATACTTTGCCCGACTCGGGAATCGAACACGATTATATTAATATTTAGAATCGAACTTATACGATAATATTAATATTTAGTTGTATGTTGTTTAGTATGTATGTATGTATATTAAATAATCAACTTTACTTTACTTTTGATCGATTACTTATGTTATGGAATTTGTTTATATAAATAACTTGTCCTAGAATTAGTAATGTTGTGTGTGCTCCTTTCGCCTGTGATACAGGATATTTTTCCTAGTACAGGCACTCAAACCTAGTGAGGTCTCTGATTTAAAATTAAGATTTTATCTGTACTATGACCAATTTCTTATAATGAATAAAGATTTATTATTATTATTGTATGTCTTTACCATTCACGGGACCACAGGGTCCCGGTCATTTGGGAGGCATGCGAGGGGCCGAAGCCAACTGCGCAGAGGCCCTTTAGACAACTTTAATATAAATGTAATGGACACACAAACCGGCGACTATCCCTGTATGCACTATGAAAATGCACCCAAGGACAGTCTCCGGTTAGTGTAAAACTATTGAGGATAATGGAAAAAAAAGATAGGGCTATGGATGGGTTGCTGTGGACTGGAAAATTGGGAACTATGGATGACTATGGCACCTGCCGAAACAATGTAATTATTACACGTAAAAATGGCAGGCGGAGACTCGCCAACTCACCGACCGGGCCCCGGGAATGGCTGCTAGATATAGCAACAGAGGGGCAACGAGAATGTGAGTGGCTGAAGGGTTAAGAAACTACCACCGCTTTCTACTCAGATCATCTGCTCCAGCCGAAGCTTCCTGCATCCCTGGCCCACTCGCGACTTACGAATAGTTTCTTACCCTCCGAGCAGGATCACTGCTCTTGCGACTCCACTCTGGACGGCCAATGAAGGCAAGCCAGAGGTGGGAGACCTGTTCCTTGTCATCGTTCACTCCAGCCAGCCAATTAAGGCAAGCCGGAGAAGAAGGAACGGTGACTTCTCCCTGGAGCACTCGGGATGATGGTAGCCCGCGGGATCGCTAATGCCCGTCACCTCGCCTCAAGGTGCCCTGCGGGCTTTATTATTATTATTATTATTAATTCAGTTTGCAATTTTCAGTTGAGTGGTATACCACATACTTACTTGAGACATTTTGAAAGAAAATTAGACTTTGAACAGATTATGATGGGACGGATAACAATGTATAAAATTTTATACGCTTGAAAAACTATATGTAACTTGCCTTCAGGAACATTTCTAAGTATATTAGGTACTAAGAGAAACATCACTTATAGCTTTATATGGACCTCACTTACACTAACCGTGGATGAGGACTTTTACCACCAGAGAAAAGCAGCCAAGTGGTCAAACGCCGGCCCATTAAATATAATTATGTAAAAAACGTAGACACTTGGAACAAAAAGCAGTCATCGCTTCAACATTAACATACCTGCTGACTATTATCATCGGAAATCAACGCTTAATAAATTATTTCTAGCAATTATCGAAGTATCAGATTAATATTAAGTACAGGAACATTCGAAGTACAAGGTACACCGACCTTTGATCAAAATAGACATCAGTACTTCTGATACAATATTGTTGCAATATCGATAATTTTTACAATATCATGCTTCGTCATTTTACAAAGCGAATTTAACGGACCCGGAATTACGCAACACGCACTATTTATTGCCTATCGATGTGTATTGTTATAAAAAAATATGCCAATGTCATTCTCAGACCATAAACAATACATTTAAAAAAACATATCGATCATGTACATGATTCTTGATTGTCAAATTCAGGTGTTACCTTATCTTTAAAAAAAAACTAAATTTGTTATTATTTTGTACTAATGACTTGCATAGTAGTTACACTCAGAAAAAACAATAAAAAAAATACATTTTTGCTTTAATTCCATGATGGACTATCACCATTGCTTTTTTGAACGCTTAAAGGCTAGAAATAAAAGTAAAAAGAAATTACCTATATCATCAATTTAGATATAAACTGAAAGAAGCTCTTTACAAATTTTGTCATTCCCTCTAATTAATGGCAAACAACACATTTATTTAATTTGATAATATACCAGAAATACGATGCGCCGACCAAACTGTCGTTCTTATCTCACACGAAAGATGCGACCTTTGGGAATGAGCTAGAATCATCTTGTTTTGTACAAATTAAACATGAAAGTGTTGTCAAGTGTGGTAAATAACACATTATGGACGTATTTCACATAATTACCAAACATTCAAGAATAACCACTTCAGTCTGCTTTGTAACAAAAAAAAATCTCTTACATCATGTATTTATCATAACTTTATAAACATTACATTCTTTATACAAATGAAGTGATGATAGCGAAATGTTTTAATTATCTAATTCTTCCGCAAACTCCTCTTTCCGAGTGGATACTTCCGCGATGTAGCTACGTGAGCACCACCACGGCACACACACGCTTTGTTCTTGAGGCTAGCGTCTTGAAGGCGATTAGTAATGAGATCGTCAATAAGAACCAGTAAGAGGTCGCTTCACACCGACATTGCGATATCAGTCACCTATTGAACCGCGGCCTATCGTACTGGTAATAACTGGACAGCAGCCGCGGCAGGCGGCTTCTGATAACGCTCCCACATACACACGGTCCTACGTGAGTTCCACGATACAACGCGCTCAAGCCAAACTCACCCTTATTGCATCAACTTTAAAAAAATAAAATAAGTTCCGATAGACCCCTAATACACCTGTAGATAGAGATGAATCAGTTTAGTGGTAAGAAAAAAATCATGAGAAATGTATGGAGCTATCATGTTCGCGGGGGACTCGTCCTCTTATCAGCGCGTTGTCACTCGTAGACGTTTTATAAGTAGGCGACGCGAGCGCCCGCCATCATTGTCCGTAGCGACCGCGCGGTGACCACAACTACTTTTTATTTGTTAACATTTATTTAGTGAACAGTGTTACGTATTTACAATGTTAGTGTTTCCGGCTTGGAGATCGGATTTGCCCCGGGACGGGTGTAGGGTGCCAAGGTGGATGCCCGCTGAAAGATTCGCGCCTTATTTCGCGAGAACTGTAGCTTTGCCGCCACATCCACCACAGGTGCGACATTTTCTTAAAAAAAGAAAATATTTTTAATTTGTAAACAAAACCTTTTCCGCATTTTTTTTTTTTTTTGATAAATTGTTTTATAATGAATTGTTTTTTTTGTCTATACAGTTGGAAGATGATGATTCGTCTGGTGGATCGTCCCCTGACAGAACCTCTACCGACACGGTTGAGAATGCGGAGGGAGTGTGCCAGTGGCGAGGGTGCGGCGCGCACTTCCCGAGCGTGGCACGCCTGTCCGCGCACGTCGCACGCGCACATGCGCTTGCACACAGAGATGGACTCTTCTACTGCGGGTGGAAGGGATGCACAAGACCACAAAGAGGATTTAATGCACGGTAAGTGTCCCATATACAAAACTTTCACAAAAAATAAAGAAAATATTAATTTTCTTGCAAGCTTTTTAATATTATTTTACTTATCCTTTTTTTTATTTTTGTCAACAGATACAAAATGCTGGTCCACGTGCGAACACACACAAACGAACGTCCACACACCTGCAACCAGTGCAATAAGAGTTTCTCCAGAGCAGAAAACTTGAAAATTCACCTCAGGTCACATTCTGGAGAGAAGCCCTACGTTTGTCCTTATGAGGTAAATATCAACGACATTACTAACATGAAAAAAACATATCTTCTTCTTAAATCATATTTCATTACTTATTTGCACCATGTTCTAATTTGTGTTTCTTTTTGTCATCAGGGTTGCGGCAAGGCATATTCAAACTCCAGCGACAGGTTCAAGCACACAAGAACACATGCTGTAGAGAAGCCGTACTGCTGCAAAGTCCCCGGCTGCAACAAGCGATACACAGATCCGTCCAGTCTGAGGAAGCACGTCAAGACATACAAACATTATACAGCAGAACAAAAGGCACGCCAGGAGTCATCGGATGAAGTTTACAGCCCCGAAACGTACTCACCTACAAAGGAAAATAGCTCTTCGTACACAGTTATAGAGCCCACATCACCGCTACACGCCAGCAGAGCGTTCAACGTGCCCGTCAGCTCTCTATCCCCGACACTACCGACATACCCGCCGATGCTGGCAGACACCTCCGTCCCTGCAACCATGCCGTACTCTCCCATGGAACAAGTCACCTACATCAGGCCACTTGAAACCCTCTACCCAGTGAGAATCCCAACAAATGAGATGTCCTACATGGAGTACACACAAATGTATGAGCATGCGTACAGAAACTACTACTCCAGCACACTCTCCTACCCACCATTGGGACCAAGTATTAGTGACAAAGTATTTACTTATGAGGAACAGCCTCGCCTTGAAGAAGTGCCCGTCAAGAAAGTGGCGGAGAGTCCCAAAATGTACAATCCAATGGACGAGGACATGCCTCTAAACCTTATTTGCTCAAAACGACGAGATTACAAAACTATTGAAGAACTAGTCAGACGCACAGACTTACCTTTAGATTTAAGTACTAAAAGTTAATATTTATTTTGTAATAAAGTATTATAGCTGCTTTTCTGATTTTCATTCATTTCCATAGACACGGGTACAAAGTCTACAACAAATATTAGCACCTGTTTGGTATTGTTCATCATATTCAGCACATCTTTATCACAGTACAAACACAGTACCTACCTACGTGACGAGACATACAAGCGGATTACTTCCTTATCTGATGACAAAACTTATGTTTACTTACACAAAACAATATAGTACAGGATGAATTTTTGAAACGGATGTATGTATATGGTCAATTCCAAAAATTTTGATTGACTAATATATTTTTTATATTAAAAATCTGTCACTGCCATCTTCATTGGACTTATAGACCAACGAAACATTTTTAACAAAAACAAGTTACCTGGCATGAACAATGAATTAATATTGATAAAAATTCACCTTGTACTGCAGACAGACAGACAGACGGATGCTCTAAATCTCATTATCTTTTACAAGGGTATCTAATACTTTTGTTAGCTTTATCCAAATTGTAACAAAATTGTTAGCTACGGCTGTGGCAACGGCCTTTTCCCAACTAGGTTGGGGTCGAGTCGATAACCAGTTACAACTGGATTTTGGCAATTTAAATGGAAGTAATGTCTGCCCTCTGCAACCCATCTTGAGACAGACCTCGCGTTTTACTTCAAAATGCCCACTCGATTTTATCTTGTTTTTACCATATAATAACTATCGTCAAACATACTAAATTAGTTAGTTACTAATAGATTAATACTAGACAAACTAGTAGAGCTTTTCTCAGTCTCACGTGAGTAACCTGCGATTATATCTTGGCCATTGACTTTTCCAAAACGATAGCACAACGAAAATAGAGCTTGCTAGGAACTGATGATAAAATTCATTAAGGGAAATGAGCTGATGACAGAGTTAACCAATGTGTAAGTATCCGCAAGGCGAATAGAAGACTAAATAAAGGTTGCATATTTTATGGTATGGTAGAGGAACAGACGAATCCTCTGTGATAGTAAATGATCAGCGTTACCCCTGGATTACGGACATCGGTAACATCAGAAGGATAAAAGTTTTGGGCCTCCAGCAACCTCACTTACACGGCCAAACACAATGCTTCCACGCTGGCGCCGCGGTATCATACGTGTCGAGGAGCGGTACTAGTTTGGTATTATCAGCGCAATGCACGCAAAGAAGCTAATGAACCTTAATTATAATATGTGAGTGAAAGATGTCACCGACCTGCAATATCGCAGAAAAATTTTGTTTTTCAAATCGTTGAGAGTTTTACTGTCAACCTGATTTTCATTGGTTAATTTATTATTTATTTATGTTATTGATATTAAATGTTATGATAACATAACATCAACATAACATCACCGAAGGGGTAGGTAAAGGTGCACATTACGGCACTTAATGCCACTGTACAATTGTAACACCCACTTTTCACTATTTATTTTATGAGTCTCATGTAATAGGGGGTAAACTATTGCCATATACCGGGCACAATTCCAGACTTCGTGCTACTACTGAGAATTATTTAAAATACCCAGTAATACTTTGCCCGAGCCGGGAATCGAACCTGAGACCCCTTGCCCGGCATTCGCACTTGCGACCACTCGACCAACGAGGCAGGAATAACATTTATAATAGAAACACAATGTCGGAGTAATGATAAATATCAAGGATATATTATAATTATTATAGATTCTATCTTTAAGTATCGACCGGATCAAAGGTGGCATTGTTGTTAAACGGAAATCGGCCGCTTAATGCGGATACTATTAACCGATAAGTCTAATTTGGGCGTCTTACTTAACATAATTATACACAAAAATAACTCCAATCAACTTTATTCAATACTTACTTATAATAAAGTATACAAAAATAGATAATCAAGAAAAAATTTTTTGAAAAACAATACATTTATTTAGTAAGAAGTCAAAATAATTACGGAATACGTTTTTAGACATTATTTAACAAACAAAAATCCATTCCTTAAGAAATAATATTGAATGTATACTGCGAAACAATAGGGTAGAGACTAATTTTTATTTTAATGTCCGTCTGGTAGATTATTTTCAAACATTACACACGTATTTTTTATTTTTTTACAGAAACCAATACTTTCGACGATATATTGATTTGAAATGTCGCGTGACGTCACTTCTATGTACCATTTATACGTAGAAATGACGTTTTAGCCCCCACTCCTAAACTTTGATTCGGTATATCTAAGTATCATTTTATTATACAACAAAATAAAAAAATACGTGTCTAATATTTTTTCATTCCTAACTGACGGACTAATTAGATTTTTAATTTTCATTATCCCTATTAAGTGCCACCAGCAGATCTACGAACTTTTTAAAGATTTTCAACCATAAGCTTTCGCAATAAAACTTAAACTCCATTAGACAGGTAAGGCCTTGATCTGCATTATTGATTTATTGGAATTTTAATACACTTTCTGCCTTAAACTTTTACAATAAAGTTCAAACTCCATTAGATAGGTAAGGATAGCGTGTCTATTATTGACGGATATATAAAAAAAATGTCAGGATATTTACATATTTAAGCTCGGACAAGTCGCGACATGCCTTCAGCAATGGTCCCGAGCGCCGCAAGGTCCTTACGGGCGGTGTCCAATAGATGAGCCATTCCCTTCTGCTGTAGAGACAGGAACTGCTTCACGTCTTCTTGTGCACCTGCGAGGTATAAAGGAATTATGTATTACAAATGTCATATGACCACGTCAAGGTAGAATGCATTTGTCACTACACGTCCCACGTCCCATTCTTCCCGAAAAAGTCGTAAAAGCGGAGTAAGGGACTACATTTTTTTTTAATGTTGTCCTAACTAGGATTTTCTCTTATGTCGTGGGTGCGTTTACAAACATACAAGTTCACATACACATGGCACTCAGACCCGGAACAACAATATGTGAATCACACAAAGAGTTCTTTCGTGCGGGAATCGAACCCGAGACACGTTGCGCGGCAGCCAGTTACCCAGTAACCGCGCCAACCGTGCAGTTAATATTGGATGGCACTATTATATATACTCATATTTCTGATCTTTAGGTATAGTTTAGTTATATGGTGGCTTATTTCAGTTCCATACATTTATTAGCGTTTATGCCAATTGTCTAACCCCCAGTAATCGCATGAAATATTAGAACAAAATTTGGATTCTCTGAAGAACGAAGTCCACTTTCTTCAATCTGTCATTAAATTCCCAGCTTTACATCTTCGTAATAAAGTCGAATATCTACCCACACGTTTGAAAACAATACTAATTATAAGGATGACTTGCTGATTTCTATACATGTCTAAACTTGAATTTATTTTAATGAAACTTTTCTATTATATCAATGCTTGTTAGATCGTACGAAATAAATGGCATAAACAAAAATAATATTATTTGATAACACAACACTTGTGTGATCTACAAATTGTTGTTTCGGGTCTGGGTGTCATGTGTATGTGAACTTGTATGTTTGTAAACGCACCCACGACACAGGAAAAAATCGTAGTGTGGGGCAACGTTTCTTTTAAAAAATATAACATCACCGAAGGGGTAGGTAGAAGTGCACATTACGGCACTTAAATCCCACTGTACAATGTAACACCCACTTTTCACTATTTATTTTATAAGTCTAATGTAATAGGGGTTGAGCCTATTGCCATATATTACTATAATACAATAATCTATCTAATATCTTACCAGGATCCAAATGGTACCGCTCATGCGACGCCCCTGCGCTTGCGCTGCGTTGCAGTCGTACTGCACATAGTAGTTCATTCAGGCGACCCTAAACAAACAATTTTTTATGTAAATACTTAATTATATAATTTAATTTAAAAAATCGCCTTTATTACGCTAAAATAGTAATATAAGTAGGTTTAACACCAGTGATGTATGTATTAGTTTGGCATCGTGGCCTCTCAAAAAGATGGGACAGACATACTATCTTATGAGTATTTGTTTAATCAATTTCAATATTGTTAATAAATGACATAAAATACAGTATTAGAGGTAAATAAATATGAAATCTTGAATTTTTATAGCATCTTAAGACAGAAAATGCATAGTCATAGAACCTTACTGTATAAAATATACACATTTTTATTGAACACTAGCGACCCGCCCCGGCTTTGCACGGGTGCAATATGCATGTAAATATATATAAACCTTCCTTAAGAATCACTCTATCTATTAAAAAAACCGCATCAAAATCCGTTGCATAGTTTTAAAGATCTAAGCACACATAGGGACAGACAGACGGCGGATACCGACTTTGTTTTATACTATGTAGTGACTATGTAGTGATAAGGTGCGTATATTCTACCACCTAAGTAATAATAAAACTTATTTCATATCGAAATCTCACGCTTGCATCGCTTATTACGCCGCACATAATGTATGAAAGCCTAGGCGTGTCAATATTATCTTAAACATCTAGAAGTAAGTTCTATGGGCGAAAATTGTCTGATGTATCGCTATATCACTATATCTATCTTGTCTACTGCAAAGTCACGCACGATTTGTTTTGATATAACACCTTAGCAGTGCGTGATAGAGATGTGGACACAACGTGATACTCCTGTACCTCCTAAAACCGATTAATTAATGATAAACTATCTTTTGGTTTACCCGCACGTTCGCTATTAATCGTAGAAATTCGTGAACCAGTTACAACCGGATAACTCGATTACGTTGACGTATCACTGTCAATTTTGCAATGTTGTGCAATACTTGGTTTTGTTATGGGATGCGATGTGGATATTGCCGCAATATGTGGTTGGTGATCTTATTTTAATTTATTGTTTTTTCATGGACTAAGCAACTACACTTAGACAAAGATCAATGTGAAATGTTTGTAAACATACCACAAAGGTATGGCTATTCTACATTTGACCGCATCATCTACTAGCACATTATACAAAGGTTTATAAGTAAAACGCAGAGCCAATGTATAAAAATAATCATTGGACAATAGTTAAAAAGCTGTTATAATGAGAGAATTATTAGTGACAAACCGATAGAAACAAAATTATTTTAAATACATATTTCAGAATACTACAACTGCTATATGATTTTATATGGTCATCAGCTTTCAGTAATCCATTTGCATTATTAGGCTACTCGTAAGCAAGATGCACTCGACAATATTGAAAAATAGTCATTCATTGATTTGCCGATATACTTAATTTTCGATTTTTTAGATGTAAGTGTGCTATTTGACGAGTAAATATGATGACGTCATAAGATGGTATTTTGTACAAAATTCATAAAACAGTATCGTTTTTGACGTTTCGATAAAAGTATTAAATTTGACTAGTTTTCAACTACCGTATTTCTAGTAACGCTTACTACTACTGTACCTATAATTGTAAGTCAAAACAATAAAAAGTTTTTAATATAATCAAAATTTGTTCACATCATATACAGCAAAACTTTAGAGACGTACCAAGGCAAACATTAAACACATTTCCCAATAGCACATTGCAAATATACAAAATGATATGAAAATTTATTGTTTTGTCAGCGCCATTACACAAACATTTACTTTACATATTACTCAGTATAATGATTTAATAAAAGCAGAAATAACAATACTTCAAAAACACGTATTTTTAAAAATAAGTAAGTAGTAAAAAGCCTAGAATGTTTTAAAGCTCAAATACAATGAAAAGACAACCTTATACCAATAAAAGATTAAGGTAAATTTTTATCACAGCTCCATCATAGGATTAGACATACCCATAGCTGGATACAAACAGTCTGTTACTTTCTCAGAACAAATTCCAAATTAAATATTTTTTCTAAGATCTGAAAGTAATCTTACAATCAAATAATCAGTCACTTTGTTGAGTAAATATGTCTAGACCCAAGGAACACTAGAATGTATGATAAAACTGGTGAACTTTAAGGCCTCGTTTACGGAGACGCGGCGCGTCAGGCGTCTGTCGTACATTGCTCTTTATGTTCGAGTCTGCGCGCGCGATGACGTGGCCCGCTGCAGTAATGTACGACGAACCATTCAACGGCCGTGTCTCTGTACTGAGGCCTAGTATCCTTACTAATATTATAAATCGGAAAGTGAGTTTGTTTGTTTGTTTGTTCCACTTTCCACGCCGTATCTACTAAACCGATTGCTTTGAATTTTTGAGATGTGAAGTTAGAAGTCTGGATTAAATAATAGGGTACTTTTTATCCCGGAAAAATTTGATATTTTCGAGGGAAAACGAAATTATTGGTATAGATGGCGCTGTGTGTATTGGTATATGTCACATAGGCTACTTTTTATTCTTTTGTGACGCAAGCGAAGCCGCGGGTAAAAGCTAGTCTTTTTATATAGGGACATTTCTCTGTTAGTCTGTGTTTGTTGACGCACTTAGTTACATCTGAGACACGCATGTCCGATTGCGTGACTTTTTGTTTGAAGATAAATAATAATGTTGCCATCAGCCTGGTACATGGCTGTTGCTAGTTGATTTATAGATTTTAAGTTTCATCGACCTTTTATTGCACAAGAGTGAAGAAAGATTGGACAATAATAATTAAATATACAAATGTATATAAACTCATGGGTGATCACATCACATGAATTAAGATCACGGATGCCAGAACCCATGAAATGAGAACATGGATGTTACCTTGCCATGGTATCGCCTTAGGCATTCATTCGATGGCTTTCCATCCATCAAGAAAAAAAATATAGATTTTATACACCGGAGATGTTCATCACGCACATTTCGTCATTTTCAAGTCATATGGCCCCTTGCCTATGCTAATACATTGCTATTCCAGTAAATTCTGAAGCTGAATATCCAGACATTTTACTAAACCTTAGACACAAACTAGAGCTCTCGTCACTACTTGACCAACAAAACCTACACGTGTACACCTGGACTTACACACCGGTTATAACTGAATCCAGTAAATTCCCGCCAATCAAGTACAAATCCAACGTTAATACGCAACATTGATACGTATGACGTTGCAAAATATATTGTACAACAATTAATCATGAAACTGATAGTTATCGCCCACTTATTTAATTAGGATATTACTAAACCCCCAATCGCGATACGTAACGCCTTAAATTGTTTGAAAAATGACCAAGCATAAATAAATCATACATTCCTAATCAATAATTACCTATATATAGATTTTACATAGAAGATATTCAGAGATAAAACTCCAGTATCTTTGTTACACTCGTTTCCTGCATGATAATCAAACCATTTCATTTTGATCCAAAGTCACATTTTGAACCGGTTTTTACTGGTTAGGGGATATTTCATAACACTTTTATAGATAGTACTATTCAAATAAGTCGAAAAGATAGCGGGTATTGTTGTTTTATGATAGGTTTATACTATGTAGACATAGCGTTATTTGCATTAGAATGAACGACTGTTTATAAGACTTTAAACCCCATAATAAAGCTACGATGCTAGATCGATTTACGTCACAGGTAAGAAAACTTATAAATTCGCCAAAAACAAACACCATTGTTATTCTTCGTTGGTGTTAATTATTAGTTTATCAACAACAGCGTAACGCCGATATATCTACTCGTGCTATAATACTGTCTGGCGTCTGGAGATAACGATAAGCGATGATAAGGGAGCACGCGGTGGCCGAGTGTCCCTACATTCGGCCAGACAAGGTCATCAAGTACTAAAATTAACGTTGCAATAGTGATAAGGCGCCTGATCCCATGCGATAACAGACACATGCTAAGTACCGTACGTGTAGATGAGCCACAGATCTACAGATAATAACAATCATGAAAAACCAATTTTTTCGGTGTGTCATGGCCTCCGAATCTATTAGCTCTTTTACCGTTTTGTAACATTTGTTTTTTGTAAAGTCATCAATGTTCGTAGGTGATACGGATTTTGCTATTCACTCCCTATCATTTTTGCAACATCTTTGAGACAGAGTAATGATACCAATCACTTTGGGATATTGAGTGAGTAAGCTAATTCCAACTCGTCATCTACTCATCAATTTTTTTTTCACCTGTGTATCAAGTACACATTAACTCGTACGAATTTTGTGTCAAACAAGCGCTCATTGATAAACCTAAGTGTCTAGTACAATGGTTCCCAAAGTTGTTTATATGACGACTTATCTAAATCTAAAGTTCCTAATCTTAGAACCTACATTTAGATTCTAAAGGTAGATCCTAAGTTTTAGTCTAAAGTTTAGAATATAAAATTGTTAGTAATATGAAAAATAAAATACCTAGAACAGTCGGTTAGTGCGTCATTCCACAGGCCCACCAACGGGTCGCGACCCATAGTTTGGGAAACCCTGGTCTAGTAGTTAACATAGAACAAATGCAAAAAGCACTCTGAATATTTTATGCAGGGGCTGGTCCATGACTGGTCATTATTTCAACTTTAGTTGTCGACTTTTAGTAAAAGAAAGTCGTGTTAATTACACTATTTATAACTCAAAAACGGCTAAACCGATTTGGATGAAAATTAGTGGGGAGGTAGATTAGAACCAGGAGACGGACATAGAATACTTTTTATCCAGTACTTTTTTGGTTTCTACCGAAAATCACGAACGAGATCGGGAAAAAACGGGATTGCACGTACGAAGTCGCGGACGGAAGGTGGGTGAATTCATAAAGTATGAGGTACTTACATTGTATAGCGGTGGTGCAGCAAGTTGTGACGTAAGTTCGTGCAGGCGGGCGCGCGCGGCCTCCTCCTCGGGGGACAGCGCCGCGCCCACGCGACCCACCACCTCGCGCCGGGCTACCACCTGGGATAACAAAAATACATTATCAAAAAGATACTTTTGGATCTGGAAGTCGTTGGGGGAAGCCTATGTTCAGCAGTGGACGTCCTATGACTGATATGATGATGATGATGATGATGAAAGATACAGTAAGAAATCCTAAAAGCTTTTAGTAGTCAAAGATGACTTCTGAGCTTCTTAAAAATTTGTAATTGTATCAATAGATTCCTTATAATGCACGAATGGTATTTCATGTCTATAGCTTTCCCAAACCAGAGAATTCAATTAATTATGTTTTACGGCTTACACCCGTAACTGATTGATGACGTAACTCCACTAATTACAAGCCACGCTAAGGGCTCATATTTGGGAAACTAAAGACGTCATAGTATATTAAGTACTCACGTAAGTAAATTAATTAGCTGCTGCAATCGTCTTACCTGCAGCAAAGTATGTCGGCGAGCATGCAGCCTGGCGGCGAGCTGCGCCAGCCTGGCAGTGGAGGCGGCGCGGCGCGTGCGCAGCTCGGCCAGCTCGGCCGCCGCGCGCTGCAACCACTGCGCCTGCAGCTTCGCTTGCTCCGACTGGCAGCGACTGCGGAACTTTATCTGGAACACAAAACAAACAATTAGAAAATGGTTTACTTCATCATCACCATCAGCCTGTAACTGTGCACAGCTGGACTATCAATGGGTCTCCTCTTAATATGACGAATTTACCATAATATCTATGGTTGGCAGGCATGTTAGATATCTCCGCTTAAAACAGTTCAAAATAGACTGTCTCATACACTTGTATGAGGAAGTAATAGTTAAGTGTCAGTAAGTTAGGTTAGTAAGTATATGTGGGACTCTCCGGGTGAAGCCGGCATACCCACTAAAACCCAGGAGGAAACCAATACTTCCTGAGGTTAGCATTCAAACAAACAAATTCTTCAGCTTTATATAATACTATAAGATTATAAACACCATGCCGCCGATTTATTGTGAATTCACGACTTCTTCTTATTTTGTATGAGACAAAATATTGCTTACCTCAGAAAACCCTATAATGGGCACAGGAATGTAGTTTTCCGGGTCCGGATTGTCAGCCTGCGCTTGCTTCCAGAGTCGCATGTCCATTCCTAGAAACACAGTAACGTTTTTATTATTTATTATTGCTTGTATAACAACTTGGCATTGACCATTATTGTCAACTACATAAGTATTATAATCTTGGACTACAATGACACATTGTTATAAGTAACTAACAAAATGTCTATAGTTTATAAGTGCAATTTTTAAAAAGAGTAACGAATGGAGTTTCTTTCTCGTTCTTCTCCATGACTGACAGACTATTATTTATTTTGTATTTGTTGACGTTTCAAAAGTACCAAATTATGGTTTAATTGAAATAAATGCTTTGACTTTGACTTTGAATTGCTTCGTTGGCCGAGTGGTCGCAATTGCGGCTGCCAGGCCCTTGTCTCATGCTCGATTCCCGCGTCAGGCAAAGCATTACTGGGTTAGCAAAAAATTCTCAGTAGTAGCACGGAGTTGGAATTGTGCCCAGTATATGGCAATTTATCTCACCCCCTATTACATGGGACTCATAACATAAATAGTGAAAGGTAGGTGTAACATTGTACAATGGCGTTAAATACCGTGATAGGCTTCTCTGCCTACCCCTTCAGGGATAAAAAGGTGTGATGTTATATTATGTATTACATTATGTAAGTGTACGTACCAGGCGGTGCAGTTTGTAAGTACTGCGCCAACATTTGCGGCGAGGGCGCAGTGACAGGCGACACGGTAGTACAACCTGCGCCGTTCAATGCGTTGCGAGCCGCGCCCGCGTTCAAAAAGTTACTCAGCTCCGACGCAGATATATGCGTGTTGCCTGCTCCTTTGTCCACTACGTATATAACAACCTGAAACAAAAACCATAAAGGATATTAGATGATACGCACATACAGTTTATGATCTATATATATGTTACCGGCCAAACCCGATTTCAGGACAAACTAGTTTTGCCTAGGCTAAACTAGTTCTTCCTATACGCGTTAGGATTAACTAGTATAGCCTAGTTCAAACTAATTTGTCCTAAGCCCGATAGGATAAATTAGTTTAGGCTAGGACAAACTAGTTGTTCCTGGGCGCTTACTCTTGAAACCAATCTCAATGTCAATGCAATTTCAATCCAATATGATCTCAATAATTATTAAATGTCAACACTATACAACCACAATCTTAGCTGTTACAATAGCATTCAGAGTACGGAATATAAAGACAAACTCAATACCATTTAGTTCATTCAATATCTACGCAATACGGATGCAATGGGCTCTAGTATTGCAACTCAAGAGTACGAAATTTCACAATACCAATGTCGATCGATCGGAATTGGATTCAAGAGTAAGCCCCCAGATATAAAGACGCACACTCTAGGATAAACTGGTATGGCCTAGTCTAAACATTTTAATAAATCTAGAAGTCATAATAAGTAATAAAAAATTGGTCATAGGTCATAAAAAATTGAATAAAATACTCCGTAATTGAAAAATAATCATTTTTATTAAACCATAATGATTCGTCGTTAAAACTTATGGTTAATTGGTAATACGAACAATCATCCTATAACAAATAATACTACTAAACTGTTAATATTATTTAAAAGTAGGTCTCAGGATAGTTGTTCCCCAAAAATCGATTTCTTTACATTCAGCTTAAAAATCTAGGTTTCTTAATTAATCCACAATAACCAGAAGGAAAAACTAGAATCTATAAAAATTGTCAGAGAGCAAGCGTGGTAATTAATGCTCAAACCTTCTCCGTGTGAGAGAATGCCTTTGGTCAGCAGTTGCCACTCATAGGCTGTTGATGATTGATTGATAAAAATTATCAAGTAATAAAATAAGAAAGTACCTGAGTTTTGCTATCAGAAACAGCTTTAACACATTCTATAGTGACGGCTAAATTAGGTTTGTTTCCCATTAAACCTTGCAGAGATGTAGTCAGGGCCTGCTGATTATTTCTGAAAAAAATAATATTTGAATTAGTTTATTTTTTTAAATTTACCGTTATTAAGTAACTATAAAATCAGAATCACTCTGTTGCGACACGAAATTTGGAAACCGTCGAACAACAAGCGTAAGTTAGTATTACTAGGATTTTCAGTTTTATAAATAATTCTTATGATGTTCAGATGATTACCTCACCCTTATATAAGAGTCGAGCAAGAACATACTGACCCATTAATGATAAAAGAAGTACTAATTTTAGTTAGTAGTTTAGGGTCAATATTTACCCACTATGTAATGGTGAGCTGTGACGTAACCAACGATGCAGTATCGTGTTTTGCAAAGAGCAATAATAATCCTTACTCTCTAAACAATAAAATTTAAAACATACTTGATCTCCTGTTCAGGTTTGTTGAACAGCATGGCGACGTGACCGTCCTTGTCCTCGCGGCCGCCGAGGCGGGAGTATCCTACTGCTTTGAACCTGCATAGAGGATTCTGTTCGTTCAACTCTAAAGGAGGCGCGTTACGACTGTAATAGGCTTGACCTGGAAAGTAGAATAACGGATTTGTTTTATACTTTACTTATTACGTATTTTACATAACATCACGTCGTGCACATTATTTACGGCACTTAACGGCACTGTACAATGTGACATCTACTCTTCACTATTTATGTTATGAGTTTATAAGTCCCATGTAATAGGAGTCCCATATACCGGGCACAATTCCCGACTCCGTGGTACTACTATACATTTTTAAAACCCAGTAATACTTTGCCCGGACCCGGGAATCGAACCCGATTAGTATTACTTTTTTTTAAGGTTTATTCAGTACTTTGTGGTATTACGATTATTAAAACTAAAAAGAAAATTAATTAAAAGATGTTCACTGCTAGCTTAATTGATACCTATTTGACACTTTCTATGGGAAATACGTAAAACCTTTATGTACGGTAAGTTAGTTAACTAACAGAAGTTTATTCAGACAAAATAATTTTTACATTTTACTAAAACACGAGTTATGATAGTCAAGGTAATTTAAATAATAAAAAGACGCTAAAATCATCAAATAAATATCACCTTAGCTTTACTAATACTGGTATCGTATGCCTGTTGCATACCTTACATGTAGTGGTACACCTGTGCAGTTTAACTGTACAGTCGAACTGTACATATAAACCGCAGGCCCATACAGCCTACAAATTAATTTACAGTAGAACTGTACAGTTAAAAGTGTGTAATGTGCATTAAAACACTGCATAACTCACCAGTGCCCCACTGAGCCTGTATGAGGTTCCACTTGGCCAGCACTTGGTCCCTCTCGTCTCCGAACACACAGCAGTTGAAGACGGCGGCCACCAGCGCCTCGTGAGCTGATGTGGGACCCTGCGCCTGTTGCTGTTGTTGCTGCTGTTGCGCTTGTTGCTGCTGGAAATGCAAAACATTTTACATTACACAATTTTTTTAACACTTAGGAAAACAACGGTTATTCAATTTTATGAAAAAAGAATATGACATGCAACAAAAAGCCAATATTGATTTCCACAATTACTAACACCATACATAAATGTTTAAATAACAAGCCATGAGGTGGCAGCGGAAGCCAGAAGTAGAGTGGACCCCTAGTCTTCCCGCATACAAAATACCTACATAGTTGTCTCTATTGCATATTTCATATTTCCTTACCTGTCCGAACTGCGGTGTTGCTCCGAGGTTACCGAATCCAGCGAACCCAGTTTGTGGCTTAGCTCCAAACCCTGGACCAATTGAATTGGCAGCACCACCAAATGGTGCGCCAAAGGTATTGGAGCCAAGCGTACTGGTGCCAAATGTTGGTGCAGTGCTTCCAAATGTAGATTGACCAAATGCTGGAGTGGTACCAAACGTGCCTGCACCAAATGAAGTATTCCCAAAACCTATGGAAAGATAAATAATATATACATACAATATCAATACCACTTTAAGACCAACTTCTTTCATAAATTTTCAATTCTATTTCAAGAGTAATTAAGTAGAAAAACTTATAATGATATTAACTGTAAAAAAATTGTCAACAATTGTATGTATGTATTTAGGAAATACCAAAGTAATAGTATTTATATTAATGTTCGTCATTATCTTACTATGAGAGGCGGTACAAAGGCTTTTTCAGATTCAATATTGATTGTCAACAGTGTTACGAAAACAAACTACGGAGTTCTAGATTGAGTTCAAGCATTCATACTAAAATAATTTTGTTAATATATTAGTATTATTGTACCTGTCGCTGGTTTAGCAGCTGTGGTGCCAAAGCCCGTTCCTCCGAACAAGGATGGTGCAGTAGATGCAGGTGTAGTTCCTAATCCTCCAAATGGTGTAGCTGTGGAATATAACCACAAATTGAAGTAAAGACATTGAGAATGTTATTTTGTAATGAACATCAGTAAGTGCCATATTATAAAAGAAGGAATTTCTTTGTTTATTGCATTTCATACTACTACCATCAGGCAATCCATCTGTTGGTTTACCGGCTTATCCCATAAAAAAAACTTCAAAGGTTTTCTATAACATAACATAACATCACACCTTTTTATCCCCGAAGGGGTAGGCAGAAGTGCACATTACGGCACTTAATGCCACTGTACAATGTAACACCCACTTTTTCACTATTCATGTTATGAGTCCCATGTAATAGGGGGTGAGCCTATTGCCATATACCGGGCACATTTCCAGACTCCGTGCTACTACTGAGATTTTTAAAAACCCAGTAATACTTTGCCGACCCGGGAATCGAACCCGAGACCTCTTGACCAGCAGTCGCACTTGCGCCCACTCGGCCAACGAGGCAGTAAAGGTTTTCTATTATTTCATTATTATTATAAGTAATTAACTAGCTTTTGCCTGTGACATCACCCGCGTTTCTGCGGGATTCAAAGTGGCCTATGTGGTAATCCAGACCATAATCTACTCTACAAATTTCATCTCAATCCCTTCACAGGCGTTTTAATGTGAAGGAGTAATAAACATTTCCAATTATAATATAATATCAGTAAGATTAACAATAGATTTTAGTGGCACACACATCATGAAAAATGATATTTTTGTTCCCATAATGAGTAGGTATTTAAAAATAACTAATACATTGATACATACTCAATTGATAATTGATATATGTTTCAATTTTTTTTTTAGTTTCGGTTAATATTGTAGTTTATATTTTGTTATGCTTTAATGATTTTTTGTTGATGTTGATGTTTTCATATGCACAATGGCCTAAAAATGCATGCATTTTTTATTTTTTTTTCATACAAAATAAATGCATTTTCTTTTCTTTTCTTTCTTTTTTTCTTTTGATAATAACATAACTGGCAAAAAATAGTAAACAGATGTTATTCAAGCATCACATTATTTTCTCGTATAGGATTTTTAAACATAATGTTTAACAGTAGATAACCAACTCACATTCTATGATAATATCAATAGAATACAAAAAACTAATGACTGTATTCCCCAACCATCTCTAAATGTTACTTAGTGTGACGCAGCACCTAACCTAATTCCTTACTTGTAATGCTAGGTGTCACCTATAGGTATGTTGGTAAAAACCATAATGTTGTAAACATCATCAAAAACACATGTTTTTGATGACATTTACATCATTATGGTTTTTACATGCATCTTATATTGGGTCTTCCATAAAATTTAGGAGAGGTAAATCCTTAGTTACCTGTACTAGTTGCTGGTGCACCGAACCCACCAAAACCTGTTGCAGTAGATGTATTTCCAAAACCACCAAATCCAGAGCTGGTTGTTGTTGTGGTACCACCTCCAAATGAAAATGTGGCTGGAATTAGACAACATAAAGATATAGATTAAAATTAATCACAATTTAGGAATGGTAACATAGATTTTAACAATTATAAATTTATCTACCATTCAAAACAATTATGTTAATGTTAATGTTGATATGTGTATAGATTCTCATTTCATTTTCACCACAAATAGAATTGAAACTGAACAGTAGTGAACTAGAAACTTCAGTTTAGTGATAGTGAGACACTATTTAACTTTTTTATTTGAGTTAACTATTGTACTTCAATAGTAAAGTCTATGCATTTTTACATTTTTTCTAAAGTTGTGTTAAAAACATGATATCTTTAAAATATCGGAAAATTTACTTACGTTTTGCTGCAGCTCCGAAGGTTGAAGTTTGGGTACTAGGTGTTCCGAACGAAAAAGCCATTGTTGCTATTTATTTTTGTATGTTTTTAGTGATTCACAATCTACTTAAAAATCGAACTTATCGCATATCGTAAACTTTGAATGAATTGTTCTGTTTCTTTTTATTAACACAAAATAAGTTACTTTTGACAATAGAAATGTAAACAATTAATTAGCTATTACGAAAAATTAATTAATTAAAAGAGGTTATTTTCACAACAGTAAACAACGGGAAGATCCGTGAAGACCGGGGGGAATGGGATGACGTTTAAATTTGACGTTTGACATTAACGGAACACAGATTTTTTTCACTATAGAATAATAGGGATGAACTTAGTCAAAAACAAATTAGTAATATAATTTCCTAAAAAAACCACAACATATCTTTATTCAGCAGGTGAATTCACAATTATCCCCCATTAACAAGGAATTCCCAGTAAGCGCGAGTTATAAGCTCACGTTGATTACGTCTCTGTCCTTTATACTCACCGCCCGTCGCTACTACCGATTGAATGATTTAGTGAGTTCTGTTCGGTGTTGCTGGGAAGTTAACCAAACTTGATCATCAGAAGTAAAAGTTGGAATAAGGTTTCCGTAGGGGAACCTGCGGAAGGATCATTAACGTTGCTTACGCGAGACGTTCCCAGTGCGCGGATCCGAGCGTGATCACACTGATCACAATAACGTAAACACAATCCATCCAGGGATGGATAACCAAATGCCTTCCAAATAAATAAGTAAAAAACACGGAATATACTAATAATACTTTTGCCCGACGCAGAAATCTTACCCGAAATACTAGTGGAGTGGTCACTTCACCAACGATAAACATTCTAATATATTGTTTACAGACATAATAATTTCTACTATTCTGGTTGATAATTATTAAATTATCCTAGAACTTCTAAGATTGTTTCTCGGTATATATCAAACACATTTTGAATGTCCTTCTGTAAGTTTAAGCATGGATTAAACCACGAAATAGAACCTACACTTCGAATATTCAACCTTGGTGTTACTTACGATCACCTCAAATGATATTCATCATTCTATTTTTTATACTTCTTCAGAGATATTAGAAACACAAAATAAAGACTGATCGTTTGTTTCAATCACCATTATTTACGATTAGTTTCCGAAACTTACTAATCGTAATCCGAAAACTACTAGTAGGTACTACCCAAAGGTAGGGTTGGGATTTGGAAACCGTAACAATATACTCTTTGATTTAGGCATGCACTCACACCACACAAGGTCACAACAGCTGATACTGACGAAATATCAAAACATCTTCAAAAGTTTCATCTAAGGTTTTGTTGTCAATAAGAAAGGCATATTAATTTATTGAAAATTCGAGTATTATTTGGATTAATTTTTTCATTTTTATTCAAATAAGCTGATAAAACTATAGAACATGTCAATCTGCGTGTAACCTATTTTTCATTGTATGTAGGTACATAACCACAGAAAACTAACATAACCTACAAAAACTACCTACATTCTTCGAAAGTATTTGCTTGTTTACAAATAAAAGATAAACAATCATAAATAGCTACTTTATTGCATATCACATCACCAATCCACCACTATCTCCAAATTCATTGTGAACATTTTCAGTAATCTGATAGAACATTTTTTTCCTTGGTGGTAACACATTGTAAATCACAGATGGAACATTCCAGAGGAAAAATAAATGCTTACATCATTTTACTTTTGTTAGTTTAGTAAGTATACAATCAATAAAAGAACACATTCAACAGCAAAAATGAGATAGAATTAAAATTATGCAATAAACAAATCGGAGTTAAGTCTTCGCCTCCCAGGGAATCCGTTATTTCTTTCCTCCAGGAGGCTGTAGTGGCTGGCCACGTTCTTTTCCTCGAAGTTTTATTCCAATTGCCCTTTCTATCTTACCAAGAACAATGTTGTTTGGAATGCCACGACCGGCCTCATAGTCATTGACAATTTGAGGTTTCTCGCAGATCTTTGTTGCCAAATCCTTTTGACTCATGCCTTTCGACTGTCTTCCTTGCATTATAAGTTTTCCCAGGTCAAGAGGTACTTTTTCATGACGCAATTCTTCAGTCTCTCTGTCGAGTTTAGCCGTATTTTTAGTAGTAACGTGTTGTTTATTAGTTCCAGCTCCATATTTTTGTTGAGTTTCAACTGGTAGGCCTTGACGGCGTGCCGCATTTACGGCTTGTTCAGTCTTCAAAGCCGAAGCTTTTGGTGGTTTCTTACGAAGAATCGTGACCGTATCCCAGTCAGACATTTTTGCGCAGCTGATATCACTGGTTTCACAAAGAAATGATTAGGTATACGAAAATTTATCTGCGTTTTCGTGTCTGCCGTGGTGTTCTCTCTATGGCAGCTAATTCAATGACTAGAGATGGGCACCGATAGTTTCCAAGCAAACGATAAATTATATAATACCGGTTTCTTCTCGTAGAAAATTTACTAACCAACATTTTATTACGCTTCTATGTGAAGATTATCAGAAAATTATAGAAACAATCAATTATTGGCCAAATTAGTGTCAAGAAGTTATTTTAATTCAATTTTCATGAACTAAGATGTAGCTTTGCTCACAGACGTATATTCTGTGGCTTTGCTTATCTGCGCCCACGTCTCTTCAAGTTCAATTTTCATCTTTTTTTTGACATTGACATAAAAAACAAGCATTGTTATGTTATTGTTTTATGGTTATTCAAACTAAAAAGACAACAGTGCAGGTGCAGTTCCTAATTCTCTTTACATTCCCCAAAGTATTGAACATTTTAATTGTAAATAAGGTAAACAGCATGGCTGAAGTGAAAAATGAATCTGAAGAAGAGGAATTTTTAGTTTACGCAGAATTTGAAGACACTGTAAACATTGAAAAATATCGAACTGTTCATATACTGGGTGTTGATGGAAATAATCCTATTATGCAAATGGATGACACGTTTTTTACAGGTATACCTACAATCTAAAACCTTTTTTGAAATCACATACTATGGCACTTATTCAGAGGTTATGATAATGTAAAAACTTTATTTATAACAGGTAAATATGACAACGCACTAGGAACGTTTATGTTTTTCGAAGAAGATCCAGACCCGAAATCGGAAGACTCGTTATTTGATAAATTACCTGAGAAAAATCTGAAATATGTTTGTAAGACAGGAAAATTACTGACCATGGAACATGCTTATGTTACTCCTAAAGAAGGTAAACACACAAAGCTTCAATATTTATTTAATATATCTTTACATCTCTGTTATAATGTAACATAGCTGGTCAGCACTGACAATCATCTTGACTTGCTATACCTCATTTGCTTGACTCACTATGCTCACGGGTTGGCCCCGCATAGCTGTCAGCACTGACCACCTAACAAAACCAGGGAAACATTGTATAATGCTAACTTATATTTCAGGCCATGATCTCCAAAACATGAAACTAGAAGTAGAAGATAACATAGAACCAATAAATTTTAAAACATTACAAGAAGCTATTGAAAAGTTTAAGAGTCATTTCGAAGAAGAATCAAAAACAGAAGTCATAGATTAATAATTAAGGTGAGAAAATCTGCGATAAATATTGAAATTTGAATTATAAACTAAGATTATCATACCATAATTAGTTTTTTTTTATAATGTCCCTCGTTAACAACGGTATTGTAAGCCAGATTAATTGAGGCCGTATTCTGTCTCTTTTATCCAAATCCTTCCAATAGTTTATTTAAATCAAATCAAATCAAATATCTTTATTGCTGAACACAGTACATTTAGATGCATTTCAAGATGTTAGATGAATGCGCAGTTGATCATGTTCCGCCAATCAAGGCATGCAACTATTATTCGTAAATTACAATTGACGAGTTCCTGATTACAGCAATTTTATGAATTATCAGTTCATTAACTTTCACACTTGTGATATTAGTAGGATTTGAAGATGAAGACAAAAGCTACTTAGACATGGGGCCATGTATTGCTTGACTTTTAAATTGTCTGTTATAGTATATTACAACAGAGGTTTAATGGGGCTGGCGATTTGTTTCTGGAAAATGAATCTTATTCAACCTTACCCCCAGGGTATAACGGGTGTGATTTTATATTCGTTAGATTAGAAAATGATAATTTACAACATGCATTCAATAGTAATGTTATTATGAGAATATAAAGTAGTACACATTTTTTTATAAGAACAAAACAATTAATCACTTATCTTTTAATTGCATAAAACCAAGTTAGAGTTTTTTTATCAGATGCACTACAGACATAACTTTGGCACACTTTATTGGCACATGCAACACTTGAACAATATTTATTAAGTATAATACTCAATATCTACTGAATATTTTTACCTAGAAAGTAGGTACAAAACTAAAACAGAAAGTCCCCTTTCACCTAAATATTTTTATTAATGTAGCAACACTAACGCGGGGAAAACCTTGGGGTCCTACATATAAATATAATGTTCCCAGCTAACATAGGTAGGACGCCGATGAACTGTATAATTAGTTCATTCGTTCATACTACTTTGTGTCGTGCTCACTGTTTATTGGTTGGCTGAGTTTATTGCGTACTGTGAAATAAGTACGGTACGACTACATAGTATTAATAATTGTACATTGAGCACTGAGTTTGTTCTTTGGTGGTGTATCTTGGTTTTTTGATTTGACAGCATATTGTTGTGTCGAAGTATTATACGTGTATAAAATTCAAGCCCTTTATAACCCTTTTCCCTGCTGGAGGTTAGTAAACATTTGCGGAATTAAAACATACCTAAGTATAAACCATAATATAAAATACGCCAATTTGATTGTGTTGAGATGTTCAATATTCAATATACATATACATTTTCTATCTAATAAAATATCTTCGGTGACTTCCTTTCAACTTATTTTAACTTCATAGTTAATACCTACTTTTTCCGGTACCTATACAGTTGTCAGTTAGATAAATAACTAAGTATGTATATGTACATACACGATGTTTGCGAGATTGCGAGCGCAGCGTACCAATGTATGCTAGGTATCTATAAATAAATAATGATTATGTTTATGGCAATGAGTGCGCAACCGGTCTCAGCTGTCATGTTACGCCGCAAACACTGGTTTTGGTCCATTATTTGAGCGATTTAAATAGTTTTGAATTCATATTTTCATTACAAAAAATTATATATAATTTTATTTGTTTCAGCAACATGACAAACACAAACAAGCGGCCTCAAAAGAAACCTACAAAAGCGTTGGAGAAAATATTTCAAGAGATAAATAGAAGACATGTACGGATTAAAAGAAAAGAGAGGAAAAATAATAACTCTATACTTTATAAAGTGCTGCAAGAACTTTTGAAGATAATGCGTAAATGTGACAGCTTGTTTGATAGCATGAAACCAAGATTAGAATATTTGGGCAGCTACTTTGATGGGTTACGCGTGGGACAACCAACAGAGTACGACATAAATGTTATTTTGACTTTTCACATCAATTATAATAGAATCGAATTAGATGCTAATTGTACTGAAAATGGCTACACAAGTATAATAATGCCAGAAGAATTTCGTAGATTGTCAAAAACTCCCGCAACGGCCGAAAAAGGTTTCAAGAAAACTGAATTTTGGTGTGATCGTTCCTACCATCTTTTGGTCAAAAACTTTCGTTCATGGATGCAGTGTTGTAGATGCTGCCCTTAATAAACTACCCTTAGAAGACGGTAAGCGGATATTAAAAGTAGAAGACAAGTACTTTAAAATTGCTTACAAGATGTCTGGACCTGCTAATACTATAACAATATGTATGAAAGATGATTACGTAATTGATGTCGATTTGGTTCCAACATTATCATTTGAACTACCTAAACAGCCTTCTGATACAAAAATAGATTTTGATAAAGTAAAACAGACTAAAATTTCCTACTATTTTGCAGTACCAAAGCCAAGTAACAATGATCTAAGCTGGCGATTAGCTTTTCCATATCAAGAACGATATTACACGGATAATACAAATAACTTAAAAAGTGCATTAAAACTTTTGAAACTGTTTCGTGATATTCAGGGGTTTAATAAATTAGCTAGTTATTTTATTAAAACTTTGTTTTTGTGGGAAATTGTAGAAAATGATCGGGAATTTTGGAAAAAAAATTCTTTGAACTTCTTAGTACTCCATATGCTGAAAAAGATGCGAGACAGTTTGGCAATTGCAACAATAAAAAATTTTTGGTGTCCTGAACATAATCTTCTTGAAAAAATTAAACATGAAACCTGTGAAAACTGGAGTAATCGCATATCTAATATAGTAAATGATATAGAACGAAATAAGGTACATAATCCATATATTGTGTTAAAATACTTCACAAAAATGACGATACCGTGCACCTAAACACGAAATATTTGTTGATTTATCCAAGTAGGTGCACAGTACACAAACAAAATAATCTATGAATGTAAATACACATAATTTAAGTTAAGGCGTTAAATTAATTATAATCGTTAATCTTGTTCGTCATTTTTAAATTACTATGACTAAATGACAAGTGACTATCCCTGATTGACAACGGTGAGGACGGACTGTAAGTTCTCATAATTACTGTTTTGAAAAATATGTGGGCGTAATGTGACGAGTTCGTCTTAACTCTATTGAGGAGGGAATGAATCGCACGTTGAAAATAGGGGCCATGTCACCATGATCATCGTTTTGGTAACATATAAAATCCCTTAATAAGTGTGAAAATACTAATATCACACCTTGCCTATATTACTTAACTGGAATTTTGAAATGTACAAATATCTAATGAAACACCCACTTTTCATCAATTAGGAAAAGATACTATATAGGCGTGAGTCTGTTGCCATAAACTGATTCAGTACTATTATTGAGATCTTTCGAAAACCCAGATGACACTTTTCGACCCGGGCATTGAACCTGAGATCTTTTGGCACGGAAACCTATTGGATTAAATATTTCCTTGAAATTAAGTGCTGTCAAGAACTAAAGAATTTAAGGTAGGGCTTATTTTTGTTAAAATAGCAGTACTCGTTGTAATCGTGAAAATTGATGACAATTATCTGCACCGAGAGGATCAAAATCATAAGGTAAAGATAAATAAACCTAATAAACCCCCCGTAATACCTATTTGAACCATCTCCGCATCGAACCTTGATGAAACATTTTTCAAAGTTACATACATACATACATACATAACTTCACGCCTGTCTCCCATGGGGGTAGGCAGAGACTAAGGAACGCCAATTACTACGATTATTTTTCAAAGTTAATGGTTGTAATTTGTCAAAAGTAAGAGTAAAAAAAACGATATGATTCAAAATATTGCGATTAATTTCGAAGATATTTTTTTGCAGCTGGTAGTATAATTAAATAATATTTTTCGTTACTGGCAATGATGGCTTACGCCCCTCCTCAATCAAAGCCGCCATTTTATTTGTGTTGTATCGCCATTTCGTTCCTTTCGTGAGATGGAGAATTGGACAAGAAAGTGAGACAGAAATAAAATATTCTGAATCCTTTCCTAATAATTGTGCAATCAAACGTTGTTATAAGTAATATAGGCACGAAAATTATAAGCAGGTTAGCAATTTTGGACTCTTTAAAATACTTCCCATCACATTTTTTTTCATTTTCGTGACCGCGTCTCACCTCTTGTTCGAGTACAATGGCGTCCGTTTACTCGTAGCGCGTATGGATATTCCGTCATCCTTTTCTTGCATATATCGACTATTCAGGAGACACTGCCTTTCTAACGAATGATCTTTTTACGAGTAGAGTAGACTGATAAGAAATATTCCCCGTTACCTTCGCACTTTATGTTTGAGTTTCGCTTTCGCGTACAATAAAATTAGCCGCGCTTTTGTCGGACGCTTAAAAATGTTTTTAAATATATTTTTAGAGCGTATTTTATGTTATAACAGACAGACGAGATGTACAGCTGATTGAAATTGTGTGATGAAATAATTGATGTGTCGATATGTTCACTACGAACACCGTACAAACCGGCACGGTGCCGACGCTGCAGTATCAAGAGCATCCAACCCAAAAGTCACAAGGAAAAAACATTGAGAACGTTCAACAAAAGAATGCTCAACAGACTCAACAAACTCAGCAGCAGCAACAACAACAGGTATAATGTATTCTGTACATAATATACCATGTTAACTTACTATTAAATATTAATGTTAACTTACTCATAATACTTTGACACAACAATAACTGAAACATTCTAATTACCACTATAACCAAATATTTGAATTGCCTAATAGAGTTTATTCCTATGATAATCAATATTGCATTGTCCTATGCTTACACTGACCTGACTATTGTATAAATCTGAATATAGTGGAATAATTTTACAAGTAAATAAAGGAATGTACCTATCTACATTACAATTTAATAAGATTGTATAGCTTTGATTGTGGAAATGGATTAACAATAATGCTTGCCTGCAAGCTTACAGTAATGCTACAACTTTTTGTGACTTATACTTATTTACTTTCCATTACAGGAGTTCCCAACATTCTGTTATACTACAAATGTCAACATGATTGGCAAATTAGGAACTGGTACCACAAGTGGGGCTGGTAACGTAACCAGTGGAGTAAACATAACTCAACTTACTACGAGTGACGATAAGACTTGTTACATAGCCCAACCATTCTCATACAATTATGCATTAGTTAATCAAATGCAAATAGCTCCTAATGGAATCCAGAATACAATATCAAATATTAGTTTTAAGTGTGATGTCTGTGGTCTTATGTTTGGGCATCTAACTCTTCTGAATGCTCATAAACGGATACATGCTCAGGATACAGGTAATAACAACTTTTAAACATACCAATTGCAGTGGTGCACAGTCCATATATGCAGTATACATCTTGAATAACAATTAAAATTATGTTTAGAATAGTAATTAGTATTCTATAGTCAAAGTCAGTATTTGTGTTGCATTTATTGACATATTATTTACTAGAGATGTAAAACAGATACAACCTAACTGGTTATATGAACTGCACATCACTATATCACATAATACATCATGTTTTTCAATGAGATGATGATAACTTTGTTTGTTCACTTTCAGAGAGCAATATAACAGTTGTAGCGACTGGTGTAAGTACTGGAAATGATGTTGCAATGCCACCACACATTCAAATCCTCTCCTCTGATCCCAATGAGCAGCAGCAACACCATGTGCCAATTCAAGACAGTTAGTAGGCAGTCTTTTATTTTTTTATGCCTTGCTTTACTTTGTTACCTCTCTATTTATTACCTTCATACCTCTTTTTAACCTGGCTATGTAAAAAATAAAAAATGTGTTTTATGTATAAAATTCTAGGCCCTTATTACCTTTGCACCGCTTTTGTAGTTTATTTAATTTTATTATGTGTATGAATTAAACCCTAAATAAAATTGTAGTGTAATGGAGTACCTAGTAAATTCAAATTAGTCGTATAAAATCAACAAACTAATGAAAAGCATAAAAGTTAACTATACTCAATAATATGCTTAAATAAATTATATTTTAATTAAAAGAATAGATGATTAATGATCATATAATGAGCTTTAGATTGTATAAGCTACCTTACCTGCATGTTTACACTTTTACAATAGAAAAGATGTCTGTATTTTTATTAATGTGTTAATAATTGTTCCAGCTAAACCAGTCATAATAGAAAAAGTACAGAAATGTATTACTTGTGGTGGTCCTATACCCAATAATCCTAAAAGAAAGGGACCTAAACTAATACGCTGTGAAAATTGTATTGCACAAGATTCTGTGGATCAAAGGAATAATCAATGTGAGTATAATATAATACTATTTTATATAGGACCTTTTTCAGAACCTCTAGTTAAATTTTGATCCAAAATGAGTCGGTTAACAATACTGAACTAAAACTTGAAAATTGTTCAATGTACTGTTCTATAAATAATGCAAAATAAGTAGAAAGCTTAGCTTAGTTTAACCAACATTATATTTTATTAATACTATTAGAAATAATCCTCTAAGAAGCTGTTATTATTTTTTATAATAACCATCATTATTTTAGTTATTACGAATATTTTAATAAATACTATAAAATAGATACCATTTTTATATCATCATTGAACATTAGATTTAAAAAATAAAACAATAGTGTGCTAATTAATTTTATTTATGTTTATCAGTGAATGCAACGCAAATATTTGTGGCGGCGGAAGACAATGTGAAATTTGAAGTAAGCAATGTTAGTACAGTGCAGACATCTGCTGACCCTCTGTCAACCACACAGAGCAATCAACAAACGCAACAACAACAGAAACCTTGTGAGTACAATATTTACTGCTGAAACTTACCTACCTACCAAATACTGATAACTGGTTGGAAGAATCATGCCTGTCTCCCATTGGGGTAGGCAGACACAATTGAATGCCAAAAGACATGATTCTGGCCTGGCATAATACCACCTTTGCTTCGTTTAGATGTATATTGATATCTCTCTTCAAGCACCCTCATGTGGTGCTTAAAATTTGCTCCTTCAATTTTATATCGCCTATTTGGTTTTAGAAGAATATCAATGAAAAACTTGACAGATTAAAGACTTATTCCAGTTAACATATAATAATAAAAAACCCATTATTCCAGTACCTGGACATCATCCTGTCAAGAGGAGAAACCTAGCATCAGTAACAAAATGTCAGAACTGCAATGGTTCAGGCATTATTTTCGTAGGCGGCAATAAGAATAAATTAAGTAATGCTAATTTGGATAAGCCATTCCACTGTAATATTTGTGGAGGATCTTTTGCCAGATATTCCTCATTATGGTCACACAAGAAATTGCATTCTGGTGAAAAGAATTTCAAATGTGGGATCTGTGGAATTGCATTTGCTAAGGCTGTTTATCTTAAGAATCATTCAAGAATACACACTGGAGAAAAACCATACAGGTATGTAATTACCTTTATATTATGTAAATAGATAAAATATCGGTGTTTGTCAAATAGTTGTGAAACTAAGTAATTCATTTCAGATGTAATACTTGCGGAATGCAGTTTTCACAATCACCACACTTGAAAAATCACGAAAGAACTCATTCAGGAGAGAAACCATATGTTTGTGAAGTAAGTGCAAATGAATACTATTCCAGTATAAGTTTTGTAGTTTGTAAGATTATGAATAAAACAACATACATATCCTAAGTATGGGAGGGCCATGCAGTGGGCAGTCTCTGCCGGAGTGATACCACAACCTCACAGAAAATCGACATGAAACAAGCCTGCGTTGTGTTTCGTCGTGTGAGTGAGGTTACTGGTGGCCCTCTTCCCCAATCTCCTCAATTTCTGAATCCCCAACATTCCTCAAATACCTAATCCCCAAAAGGCCGGTAACGCACTTGTAACGCCCCTGGTGTTTCCGGTGTCCATGGGCGACACCGATTGCTTACCATCAGGTCATCTTTCGGCTTACTCACGTAATTATTTGATTAGGAACTCGACTAGTTTCAAGCCATGCTAGAGGCTCATATTCATAAACATAATAATTTATTTCGTAGCTCACGAAAGTTATAATGTTTTTGAAGTGTTGGTAGATATTATCCTTTATGACTAAATGGCATGAGATGCCACCATCCATTGGAAATTGATAATAGAAATGTATTCAATCTTATACCAACTTATCATGTTCTTATAATTCAATTAAAAATTAGTTCAATAAGTTTTTATTAACATTTACATTTTCATTAGCATAAAACTCAGTGCGCCTGCAAACGCCTGCCTATTTATGAATAGAAAAAGTTTAAAAATATTAACACCATTGCATTTATTTAGGTATGTGACAAAGGATTTGCGCGGCACGCTACTTTATGGAATCATCGGCGTATACACACCGGAGAGAAACCATACAAGTAAGTTCACTGCATAATTACAGAAAACATGATTTTAAAACACTATTTTTTACAGGCACTTATATATTTGATGATAATTAAAAACAATAACAATACAATAACATCACGCCTTTTTATCCCCGAAGGGGTAGGCAGTGGTGCACATTTCGACACTTATTGCCACTGTACAATGTAACACCCACTTTTCACTATTTATGTTATGAGTCCCATGTAATAGAGGGTGAGTCTATTGCCATATACCGGACACGTTTCCAGACTCCGACCCGACCGACCCGACCCGGGGAATCGAACCCGAGACCCCTTGCCCGGCAGTCGTACTTGCGACCACACGGCCAACGAGGTAGTCAGATAATTTGTATATGGCAATAGGCTCACCCCCTATTATTACATGGGACTCATAACATAAATAGTGAAAAGTGGGTGTTACTTCTGTATCTTCTGTGGGATAAAAGGCGTGATGTATCTGTATGGTCTGTCAGTTAGGTAATCAAAAAATACAAATTATCTTCAATAAAAAAGAATAACAAACCATTAATATCTTTCAAAAGAATATAACTACTTTCATAATAGTTTATAGGTCAACTTTTTTAAATGTCATCTTTTAAAAAACTTATTTTCTGTTTTATAACAATGTTTTCCATGTAATACAGGTGTGAAACATGTGGGTCAGCATTCAGCCAGGCAGCCCACCTTAAGAACCATGCGAAAGTGCATTCCGGAGAGAAGCCTTTCAAGTGTGATATTTGTACGGCTGCCTTTGCAGATAGATTCGCGCTAAAGAGACATCGGGGTATTCACGACAAATATGGTATGTATGAAAAGATTAATGAATGCTCACAAAATAATAAATATGTTAGCTGAAATATTATATTATTCGTATTATATTAAAATAATTCCTATTGCAGGTCAAACAACACCACTACCTTCAAGAATACAACAAAACCAACAAGAGCAACAACAACAGCAAACGCAACAGAACAGTGACCAACAGAGCACACAACCAGCTGTGGAAGTGGAACTCCATGCTGAACAAACACTTTGAGCTTCATGTCTTCCTTGTGTTTTGAGATAATCCCACCCTGTCATTAATTTAACAACATTGATGACAAAGATGTCTATAGCTCAAGCAACTATGACTGTGCGATGGCCAGAGACATGTTATTGTGATAAAGATGGCCGAAGTGTATTCAGTGATCAATAGTATTTCTCATCAATAGATATTTCGAAAGATATACAATTTTAATATACATAGTTAACGCAGCGGCATAAATGACTTACATGTTATGTGTTCATGTAATAATAATATGCAGGTGATACAACATAATAATATTTAAAAGTTTCCCATTATTAGGAGTTTGTTTTACATATTATTAAGGTATTACTCTCCGGTTGTTCTTAGCAGTCTCTTCTAGCTCTATCCCTTGAAGCAGCAACTTCCGAGCTATCACCCAGGTGTATATTTGTTCAACTGGTTCACTTCCGAATCGTAGCAAAAGAGACTACTTACTGGTATTTATTCTTCTCAATATGACTGGTTTTTTATTACTGTGCTCAAGGGGACTACTAGGAACAATTGATCATCTCAACGATTGTTTAGCCTTTTAGAATAATTGGCTGTGGAACACAACATTTTAATTTTTATTGCTCCAATATCTGTTGTGATTTTTATCAAAACATTGTAAATAAATTGAATTCAGGTGCGTCACTAAGCCTATGTGATTTAGTATTTGTAGCATATCCAAGAGATGTCAATGAATCTTTGTTATAGAGAAGTTGGATGGGATGAACTTACTAATATTAGAAGCAATACTTTGTTATTATAATTATGTAGATAAACGGTTCTCTGCAATATTTTATTCAGTATAGTGGATAAACAATTTACTCTTTATTTTTTATATATAGAAGTTAATTATCTAATACATTTTGAAGTAAGTGCAGCTCATCCAGAGGCACCCGCATCACAGTGATGCATTTTATAAGTTAAACCTGGAATTTTTGATTATGGAATATAGTAAAATTTTTGTCTATAATTTTGGTTTTATTATTTACTAATTTGAAGAAAGATTATATTTGTATGCTAACACCTATAAAAATAATGTCGGAAGTAAGCTAAAGTGGTGGCACCTTCCATAAATGGTGGGGCGCAGACGCGAGTAACGGCCACAGATAGAGAAGGAACTCCATTACGTCAACATTCGTTACCTCGTGCGTACCTACCCTAATATTCGTAATCAAAACTAAATATTTACATACTCTTCCTGGTTTTTAAATCGTAACATTTTCATGTCATTTCGCGCCTTATCAGTTGCACATACCCATAATCTCAAACAAAGACTACTATAGTATACTGGAATCTCAAAGAATACCATACCAGCCTTCACACTCACTACCATCATCAAACCTTGATTTGGCATGCACCGAAAGGCACCATTACTGAATTTTGATCTACTATATACGTTATTTCTAGAATTCGTTTACCACATCAATACAGCTATTGTTTCGGAGTCGCGGAGAACCTAACGGGTAACCGGGGCTCCGGCTCCACGTGCAGGAGAAGGAACGGGGTGGTTTTTAGTCAGTAAGAGTCTGACACTCCCTTCCGCCTCACCCAGGCGGGAGCAGTCATTCGAAGATTTTCCCCCCTTAAAAAAAAAAAAATACAGGTATTGCTACCGCGTCCACACACTTCATGCCTACGTACTCAAGTAGGTACTCAAATTTCACGCATGTAGGGTATAGTAAGAATTACCTATCGTAAATTATTGACTATCTGTCTACCCTCTTACTTGAGTTTGTGTAGGCATGTTGGTGTTTATTTTCTAATGTTATTCTGCCTCACGTGTCGGAATAATGTATGTACAGTTTATCTATTATCATTTTACTTTAATCAATAGTCAATGCAGAATTATACACTTATCTTGGGGTCATCAGGAGCATGACATCTAATGAGAATAATACTGCACAAAATGACTAGCAAACCGCTAGTGAATCTATCACTGAATTTCAATTTAGCTCCTTTCCAATCATACTAGCATGACTGAAATCGAAACTATAGTTTTCTATTGGTCCCCTGAGATATGGCGACTAATATATTGGAGTATTGGCTAATTTTTATTTTAATGTCAGTCTAGTAGGTAGCTTATTTAACATTAGCCGTATTTTTTGTTTTCTAACGGAAATACTTTGGACGATAGTTATATTACGTTTGATACCTACTCAATAAACGTAGTTCCCACTGCTAAACTTTGTTATGTGGGTATAGGTATTGTTTTCTTTACGACAAAATAAAAAAATAGGTACGCGTCTACTGTCTTAATATTTTTTCATCCCCTTTTTGACAGACTAATTAGATTTTTTTCGTTTTCTTAACCCTGTCATCTCATTATGATGCTAATCCTTGTAATAATCTTACTGGATTCTTGTAGGAAACCTGCATTTGAAATGTTTGCAGAATTCTTTTAGTCTTTCCTATTCGCATTGGAATTTTGTAGGCATTTGGCCATAAATAAGACATGCGTGATTTTTTTTTCTAATTTAGGTATTTTGTCCTAAACACATATTTCTAAATTCTAAGCTCTTGCAATAGGTACCTTTGAATTATAGTTAATTATGTACCTACTTGTTGTAATGGAATATTTAGTTTCTGTTTCTGTCAACCCCCCCATATCATATGGGCCATATGGGACAAAGGCATGAGTTTATGAATTCAACACCCTAAATGAGTATAGGTTTCTACTGTACCTTCGTAAGTAACAACATGATGGTACGGTGTTCATGGGGATGGGGAAGTACTTACGTATGACAGGGTGATGTGTGCTAAATACATTACTTACTTACCCTAAACTTATGTTTCAAGGTTAGCAATAAGGTATATAATTTTATAGGATTAATGACACTAAATAATCATGATAAATAAAAAAAAAGAGTAAGGGTACGAGTTTTTTAATATTAGATCACTGTATGTAAACTTAAACGCGTTTACTAACCTATTACACGTGGTAAAGGTTATAACACTTATAAATGGAATTATGCTATAATTTATTCATAAACCCAGTTTTCGGCAGCTGGTGTCCATCCGACGACTTCTTTATCTCCAAACCAGAGTGCGATTTCCTTCTTAGCAGATTCCACACTGTCGGATCCGTGGATAATGTTGCGGCCAACTTCGATGCAGAGATCACCACGAATAGTGCCGGGTTGTGAGTCAGCTGGGTTTGTAGCTCCAAGCATCTGACGGCCGGTTTTCACGACGTTCAGGCCCTCCCATACCATGGGAACTACGGGTCCAGAGCTCATGTATTTCACTAGACCAGGGAAGAAGGGCTTGGACGATAAATCGCTGTAATGTTTCTGAAGCAACTCTTCTGAGGGCCACATGAATTTGAGGCCGACTAACTTGAATCCTTTCTTCTCAAACCGTTCGATAATGGTGCCAACAAGTCCACGTTGGACACCATCAGGTTTAATCATGAGGAAAGTTCTTTCACGTTGTTCCGCCATTATGACTTTTATTAACGTGTAGCCGGCGCGTCTGAGATGGATTACAAGGTATAGCAAAGTGGCAATCATACGAAAAAGGATGAATTCCCAACGCGTCACAAAATCAACCACAGAATGTATATACCGTTAAATGATTTCATGTATATCTATAACTAGCCGCGATTAGGGTTTGGTACCAATGAACTTTTAGGTAAAATATTTATTTAAACGGCATTAAAAATGTTAAATAATTTCCATTTGTATTTAGTATAAGGTAGCAATTTTACGAAAATACGTAATGTCATAATGTGCTAGTATTTTTACTGTCTTTTTTGCTAAACAGATGCCATATCGCGTTTGTGTATAAAATCAATGGATTTTTTTTTATTCATGTCTGTAAAATCGATTGAAAAGGAGAACCTGTATTCTTGTTCTTAGTAACAATATTACTAAAAAGTATCTTCAATATTACTAAAAACGAAATAATTGGATTGATATTTAGGTCTGCTATCTCTGCTATTATTACTTATTCTTAATATTAACTATCATAAAAATAAAACTACTGAGGTGATAGACCGACAAGTGCGCTGCACGAAGATAATAATCGATGTCACCATTCTCCATGACGACAACCTCGCAAAAGCTGAGAAAGATAAATAAATAAAATATCTAGGCTTAGCTCACGAGGTTGCCGACATGTGGAGTGTAGATTCAGCTATCATTGTGTCGATAGTCGTGTCGGCCAATGGGTTAATCCTTAAAAGCTAGACATCCATCTCAAGAGGCTGGCGTTAGGAGGACGGATCTAGGTCCTGATACAGAAGGCAGATCTCCTAGAAACGGCATGTATCGTAAGGTTTCTGTCTCTGGAGCACTAACCACCGGTAGCTTGGACTATGCTACCGCTACTGGTTGGTTCCTATATTTTTGAATATAATTTATTTTGTAAGTAGTATTTAAAAATTTTAAGAGAATTTTAAACAAATATATGAAAACTACTGAAACCAATAACGTTGAAAAAAGCGGCACACTGCACAGGAAAAATTACTGTGGCACCTGGCTACTATAGTCTTACACGCAGAATTATACACACATATTGACAAAAAGGACATCTCTCGCGTGATATAACCCGTCATTACGCTTGACATAAATGCACTACTGAGATTTTGGTGCTTCAATCACTTCCAAGTAACACTATGTCCGCCTTTTTAACGTCCTTGACTGAAACTATCACATGATAACACAAAATTGCCATTTTTATTGCCAAAATAATAGGGATATTTTTAGGGATAGATTTTTTTTTGGGAATTTTTTAGGGGTTTCGAAATAATTGCAATGTTTGCATCAGTTATATGAGCAGAATGGTATAGTCAAGCTTTTTGTTGTTGTAGCTCTGGTATCATTATTTATACAACAGCGATATTTCTCTACCGTGTAAAACAAGCCGTATGCACAATTGCACACTTTTGGAAATTTTGTATTGCAATGTCTCTTCATTGTGAGATTACTCTGAAGAGTCAGAGTAAAATTATATAATTTTTGATAATTCATAAATAATGAGTATAAGCAAATAGTACTGCATGTTACTTATTGTTGTTATTATTATTAATTTATTATGAATTAAGTATATTGGTTAGATATACTTTTTAGGGGAATTTTACAATAAATTATATTGAAGCAATTTTAGGAGGTTTTGACTTAGATTTAGAGATAACTAACTATTGGTAGGTAACACTGATTGATAATTAGTATTTTTGTAAATTTAATTAAGTATTTATTTCAAAACAATAAACCACTGAACATAATACCCTAACGAGCACCTTCGATAAACATTCAAACAAACTTACAAACAAGGACGTTAATATGATTCGTCAGGAAACGGCTAGAGTTCTTTGTATCTGAGGTAGGATTGTAGGGTTATTATTTGTAAGTATTAGAACACACACAGTTAACAACATGATCATTGACAAGACCACATGCTTGCATGAAAGCGTAACAAATTTTGGAGCCCACAAACTTAAAACCTCTTTTTTTCAAAGCTTTCGATAAGGCTGCAGATTCTGGTGTTTCGGGAGGAATATCTGTGTATTTTTTCCAAGAGTTGATAATTGGTTTTTTATTGACAAAACTCCAAATAAAAGTGGAAAAATCTTCACCTTCGTTTTCCATTTGTAAGTAACATTTAGCATTGTTTATTATTGAATCAATTTTTCCTTTATGCCTTACAATTCCGGATTCATTTAAAATTAATTTTACATTCTTTTCTGTTAACTTTGATATTTTGTGAGGATCAAAGTTAAAAAATATCTTTCGATAGTTTTCCCTCTTCTTTAGTATCGTTAACCATGACAGCCCTGCTTGTTGGCCTTCTAAACACAACATTTCAAATAAAGCTTCGTTATTATATTGCGGTTTGCCCCACTCTTCGTCGTGATATTTTATGTATATCGGGTCTTTAGTTAACCATCCACATCGGAGAATTTGATTTTCTGCCATTGTCACACTCTCACTCTTTGCGCTTGTCATAATAGTACCTACGGTTTATACAGAAATGTACCTATTACTTTAATATAACAATATGTTTATAACTTTACTTCAAATATCTATTGAGGTTCTGATAAACTGATAAAATATTATCCTAACCTAACTCCTATAAAACCATAGATAAATAATTTAAGTTGATGAGTACATGGTTGGTAGCTAAAACTAGCAATAACATGTTTTGAGAGGACAGAGACCTAAGACCTAATTCTTCTTTCCCTTTTTTCCCTGGTTTCCTGGATTAATTACGACAATCGTTGTCTAGTTTGGTCACGTTCTGGCGCTAGTTGCGAGAGATTGTTATTGGTGTATAATCTATGCGCGAGAGCATCGTGAAAATTAGTACATATTATATTTCGACGAACGTCATTGTTTTATGGATGGAAGCAAAAAATAAATATTTCCTCTTATTTCAAATTCAGTTATTTATTGTTTTGCGTAAATTATTACATTATTTTTGCATTTATAATTATAATATCTAGTTAAGTATGTCAGCAACCAGAGCTATTCCATGCAACTCGGGAAGCCAAGATCTTATTAAGTTTAGGTATGATAATGCTTACAGATATATTTTTAACACTGAGGTTTTGATAATATTCTTGATGTGGATCTCTTAACAGATATTTTGACTTAAAATAGCTGTTATTAGATGGGCCAACTACCTAAAGTATTTTTTAAGAAAAATATTTTAGTTAGAAGTGCCTGTAGTTTCTCTAAACCAGCAAAAACATAAATGTAAGAGATAATGTGCGAGAACTAAATTTAATCATATAAACTAGCTGCATTTAAATTTAAATATCCTGTACAAACTAGCCATTTGGGGCCTCCATATACTTTTGCTAGTTTGGACTGGTGGTTACACCTGTGAGGTTTAATATATCTTCGTGTTTGGGGTCCTGATACCAAGCTGTTCACAAGCCTTATATTTTCATCACTGAGTGTACCTTCAGATATTTGCTGCAATAGTGGTATATACTCCGGTTTCGACAGTTCGTTTGTAATGCGCATCATCTGGAAAATATCAAAGTTTTTAACACAATGATCTAATTGATTTCCGTCACGGTAGCTAACTATCTCCCTCATTCTGATTATGCGATGAGCAGAGACTGTTTAAACCACTTCATAGGTGTCCCAATTTTAGTGGCGCCACCGTCACTCTATGGTCACGCGCGTCTCACTGCATCGCGGCGCTCCCATAGAGCAACACAGGGCACCGTTGGACCGCTCCTATAGGAGCGCCGCTCCGGTCCAACCCAGTAACCAGTGGGTTATAACCCAGCGTCGTAGATACTTGCCTAGTTTACCTTAGAGATAATACATCTCTGGCGATGAGGTGATGACGCAAGAATCGAACCCGTGAGACTCAACCTCTGTACCAAAAGTGCAGTTAAGTACTAATAACTACTTCGTGTGTGTGTATTCATTTTTGACATAGGTACATACCACAATTTTTAGCTGTGCTTCGGATAGAGGTGTTGCTATGGGTCCTAGTAACATCACACTGCTGTTTGAACCAAGACTCTCTGGATCCACCGATATAAGTCCATCGTCACTTCCATTACTTTTAATTTCGTCATTTATTATTAAAAACATGTGTTCATTTGGCGTTGTGGTTTGTGAGTATTTGTGTTCCGGTACATAAGGTTTCTGAATAATTGGTTGTGGCATAATGTCGTTCAATAAAGCCTTGAGTTTCAATTTAGTTTTATCCTTCTTTTTAGAGGGCTTATTACGTTTGCAACAAAGTGTTTTTAATTGAGCGACGAGTACATCAAATAACAATTCTTTCTTCTTATCTTCATCATCGTTCTTTGTGTCTGATTCCACTTCTGAAGGATGACTGTACAATAAATTGTTCAGTTTTTGTACAGCGACATATTGAGGATCAGCACCTCGGTTGGAAGCAAATGGGTCTAATTCTTTATCTTCTAGCCGAAAGACTGGCCCTTCTTGTTTAGGTTTCTCTAAACTTGTTGAAATTTTCTTATTTTTCTTGGGACTCTCAAATACGCTTTTAAATTGTGCAAGAGATTTACTCAAGATAGTCTCTTTATCTTTAGGCGGGGCTAAGTTAGTCGTATATTTAGTAGCAAGTTTGACGATGTCATTTATATTATATTCAGATTTACTGGGTTGTTCATTTAGTAACTTAATTAATTCGTCGTCGGGTAATTTCGAAAGAAGATACGTGACGTCGTTATCTGAAAAAGGTATACAATTTAATAACCACCAATATTTTGCAACTTTCTAAGTATTCTCACAGAGTTTTGTTTGTAAATTTCTCAACTTAGGTGGCATTAGCGGCATTTTTAATTTGAATTAAATCACCCAAAACTCATATACCTAAACTCATAATCATTCCAATTAACGTAATTTATAATCTGATCATCTCAGCCAGAGCAATACTGGTGAGATCGATTATTAATATGATAAAGAGTTTTTGAAATTTAATTAGTTTGTTTGTACCAAAACAATTTATTTACAACAGATTTTATTAAAGTACACAATACACGTAAGTTCCATTGTTAATTAACTTACCCATGTCTTTTACTATCGATGCGCTTGCCAAACTTTTCTCATTTGGTAAATCTTTGTCATTTGGCACTAACCCTTTTACAACTAAATATTCTGCTATATCACTGTTCCACTCAGCGGGATACGACGCTGGATTTTTATCTGATATTGAAGACATCGGAAGCACTGCATGTATCTGAAATAAATAGTTTTAATGCGCCTTAATAAGACAGTTTAATAAATTATTTTGATCATTATATTCTTGTGGGCAGGACAAATCTGTTTATAATTGTATAATTTATAATATGATACGAACTGATTGATATGTTTTATTATTGTATTGTAATGTGATGTCACTTACCCAATATGAGAAAATTATTATTTTAAATTCATTAAAATACGGAAACATGTTCGTTACGAAAGCAATATGCGGTCAGTGCTAGTTTAATTTTACGGCTGAATGCTCAATAGCTTCTTCCTCATAAAAAGTAGTTACCTATCTTGTTATTGTTTACGAAATTAACAATGAACAAGTGCTCGTTAAAAAGTTTACGATAGCGATAAGGATTCAGTCGTGTTGAATGGTATGTTTTACCATGTCAAGGACTTATTATGCTTTATTTGTTTATCTACACAACAATCTGCACTTGCAATCATTAATGCTGAATGAGATTCTCTTCTCGAGGTATACCCTGGATGTGGTTGTGAAATAAATGACTTGATGCAGATAACCGAATGCCCGGTACCTATACGGCAATAGGCATTTATTGAATGGAGCTCATAACTATTAAAAAAAATTGTTTATTTATTTATATTTAAACATTACATTTATCATCACAGGCACACCTAATACAATAAATGCAGTTACACATTATAAGTATATTGTACTTTGTATTCTCTTTCTACCCCTATTCCTTCGGAGATTGAAATTCGTGTCGTTATGTAATTTTAATATTTATTTAAAACAAATTCTGAGAACTAGCATTTTCTTGGAAAGTCGTAGGATTTATACTTGTAAGCAAAAATTCTAGTATTCAGCGACAAAAAAAATGGTTACTAGTTGACACTTGACAGACAGACATTAGTGACATTGACATATTTAACATTGTATTTGTATGTATTGTTTGTGTTGCAGTGCAGTGCCGTCTCGTCGTTACGAATAAAATTATATTCTTTATTATTTAACAGTGACTTTAAAAACAAGGAAAATGAATATTCCTTTCCCAGTTTTAACCCCACGTTTAGTAGATCCCTTGTGGTTTAACGCAGACAGTCCATGTGACGAAGAAACTGAGTTAACTGCTTTAGAACAAGCAAATCAACTTTGGGTTAGTACTGTTGTTTGTATTTCATAAGCTTTACGATCTGTATAGTTTACAATTATTTTTGTTACAGTTATGAAATCTTTGAATTTAATTATCTTTGAAATTAACTACCGTAATATGCAAGAAATAAAAATATTATCTTGAATGAATGGAAGATTATTGTTACCTACTTCTAAAAACACAAATATTTATAATTAAATACTAGCTTTTACCCGCGGCTTCGCTCGCGTCACAAAAGAATAAAAAGTAGCCTATGTGACATATACCAATACACACTGCGCCATCTATACCAATACTTTTGTTTTTCCTCGGGAATATCAATTTTTTCCAGGTTAAAAAGTACCCTATTATTTAATCCGGACTTCTAACTTTACGTCTGCAAAAATTCAAAGCAATCGGTTGAGTAGTTACGGCGTGAAGGTGGAACAAACAAACGGTCAGAGTGTAGCAAAGGGTGTGCAAGGGATTTGGGACTTAGAAAATTTTTCAAAAAAATTAAAATTTTTAAAAATGCCTAGTTTTCTTTTTCCGTCGCTTAGTAGACCTAAAAATAAAGCGAAACTCATCTGAGCACTTTTTGTCTAGGACGTCAGGTTTGCCTGAAAATGAGCCTTAAAGTTCACTTGACGAAAACACTTAGAAAATTTTTCAAAAAAATTAAAATTCTTAAAAATGCCTAGTTTTCTTTTTCCATCGCTTAGTACACCTAAAAATAAAGCGAAACTCATCTAAGCACTTTTTGTCTAGGACTTCACGTTCGCCTGCAAATGAGCTCTGAAAGTCGCTTGGTGAAAACACTTAGAAAATTTTTGACCAAAATTTTTTTTTACACAATATGCCTTCGTTTTGATTTCTATCGTGTAGAGGGATGAAAAACAAACACTTTTCATTCTGATCATTTTTCGTCTAGCGTCAGCCGTTCTCCAGTTATAGTGAGTGAAAGGTTGACCTGAAAACTGAAAAGTTTCAGAAATCTCATTTTCTTTATACCAATGTCTAGAACACGCGAGTACAATTATTTTTTGTTCTGACCATTTCCCGGTACGAGTTAGCAATCGACAGATATTAGCAGTAGAAGCGTCCAGGGACTTGTAATTTTTTCATGATTTGACGCGGGCCATTTACTTTAGGGTGTGCAAGGGATTTGGGACTTAGAAAATTTTTCAAAAAATTAAAATTTTTAAAAATGCCTAGTTTTCTTTTTCCGTCGCTTAGTAGACCTAAAAATAAAGCGAAACTCATCTGAGCACTTTTTGTCTAGGACTTCACGTTCGCTGTAAATGAGCTCTGAAAGTCGCTTGGTGAAAACACTTAGAAAATTTTTGACCAAAATTTTTTTTTTGCACAATATTCCCTCGTTTTGATTTCTATCGTGTAGAGGGATGAAAAACAAACACTTTTCATTCTGATCATTTTTCGTCTATCGTCAGAGGGTTGGCGGGAAATAGTCGTCGAAACCTAAATATTGCTAAAAAAAATCAAAAACAATATTTATTTATTATACAATGATTAAAAACGTATAGAACACAAAAAAGAATTGATATTTCCATTGGAACTTTTTAGCTGAAGTTAATAAAAAAAAAATCATAGAGAAATTCCCGACACGTCTTGTGCGTGTGCCCGCTCGCGCGGGAGTGCCCGCGCGACCCGGTGTCTGCGTGATATCGATGTTTTTGCCAAATTTCGGCAAGTCGATGTAAGCGACGCATTTCTGAGCAAATTTTGCTCTCAAATTTCGATTTGTTTGTGCGTTTGGTGTTTGAAAATATTATTTTGCGATCGTAGATTTTTAGTTTTTCTTATTTTAGTTTAGTTTAATTATTCCTTTTTTTAATATTTTTAATAGTTAGTAAGTACGTAGTTAGTTAATTAGTTAGTTAGAAGTAGATTTTAGTTTTAAGTTTTCTTATTATTTTATTTTAGTTTTACAGTAGATTTAAGTTTCATTTTTATTATATTATATATATTTTTAATTTATCATGGACCCGCTGCAGTTGATTTTGGCGCGCAATTTCAATTTGTGGAATTACGCTTGCGCAATTCCTAATGAGGAGACTGCTGTGACTGCAGCCAAAGCGTGGCTGCTTATTCCAGCCCGGACGCCTAGGTGTCCAACATGCAGAGGCCCCATGTCTAGAGAGGCCAAAATGAGCTACAAGCTTAAGTACCGATTAAGGTGCTGGAGGTGTGCTAGGGAGGGCAGGCCGTCCATTAGGTCCCCTCTTAAAAATACGTTTTTTGAGAGGGCCCACGTTAGCGTGTTAAACACGCTACGTCTTATGGTACATTTTTTGAGAAAGGATAAAGTGTCGCAGGCGGCAAAAGATGTTGGGGTTACAAAGAAAACGGCAATCCAAACGTATCATTACCTAAGAGAGGTGTGCGAGGTGGCAGAAGCCCACGACAGAGACTTGTTAGGCGGAAGCAACGACGTAGTAGAAATAGACGAGACACATTTGTATACAAGAAAATACCATAGGGGCCGGCTGTTAAGGCGGCAAACATGGTCGTTTGGGTGCATAAGCCGCCTTACCAGACAAATACACGTAGAGCTAATCCCAAACAAAGCGCGTACGACTCTGGACCCTATAGTGGAGGCAAACGTTCGCACAGGGTCGTACATTATGTCCGACATGCACCGCGCCTACAATAATATACATTTACGGTTGGGCATGAGGGGTCACTCAGCTGTCAACCACAGCCTGAACTTTGTCGGGGCACGGTTGACATTCCCGTAGATACCTCCCTGGGGGCACCAGCTCCAGGTGGGAACGTAAAGGTAAAAATCCACACCAACACCCTGGAGCGGCAGTGGCTAGAACTAAAAAGGCATTGTCGGACATGTCGAAGCCAGCGTCGCCTTAAGTGGTACATGGGAGAATACATGTACCGCCACAACATTTTAAGACAGCTCCCATCAGACGCGGCTCGATTTCGCCGGCTACTAAGGGATATGCATAGGGTCTATCCCGGTTTAGGGAAAAGGGGCATCAAGAGTAGAAACTGCCGGTGTAGCAGCCCCAATTGTCGCCGTCGCAATTAAAATCTTTTTTCGTACACCCGGTACGAGTAATCTGCCGCCTGCGACCGACGACGCCATTAATGTAGCCGTCATTTTTACAGCACCTCCACCCCCACGGTATTCGGCCTCCACAAATTTCCCTCTCGAGTCTCTGCCCCTTCATGCTACCCCCCTATGCTACAAGTCCGGCGCCCCTCGCACACCTCGTAGGTTACCACACCACCTATCCATTATATTATCCCGCTTTTATCGGAGAACGGCTGACGATAGACGAAAACTGATCATAGAGTAATCTGCCGCCTGCGACCGACGACGCCATTAATGTAGCCGTCATTTTTACAGCACCTCCACCCCCACGGTATTCGGCCCTCCACAAATTTCCCTCTCGAGTCTCTGACCCCTCATGCTACCCCCCTATGCTACAAGTCCGGCGCCCCTCGCACACCTCGTAGGTTACCACACCACCTATCCATTATATTATCCCGCTTTTATCGGAGAACGGCTGACGATAGACGAAAACTGATCATAGAGTAATCTGCCGCCTGCGACCGACGACGCCATTAATGTAGCCGTCATTTTTACAGCACCTCCACCCCCACGGTATTCGGCCTCACAAATTTCCCTCTCGAGTCTCTGACCCCTCATGCTACCCCCCTATGCTACAAGTCCGGCGCCCCTCGCACACCTCGTAGGTTACCACACCGCCTATCCATTATATTATCCCGCTTTTATCGGAGAACGGCTGACGATAGACGAAAACTGATCATAGAGTAATCTGCCGCCTGCGACCGACGACGCCATTAATGTAGCCGTCATTTTTACAGCACCTCCACCCCCACGGTATTCGGCCTCCACAAATTTCCCTCTCGAGTCTCTGACCCCTCATGCTACCCCCCTATGCTACAAGTCCGGCGCCCCTCGCACACCTCGTAGGTTACCACACCACCTATCCGTTATATTATCCCGCTTTTATCGGAGAACGGCTGACGATAGACGAAAACTGATCATAGCGAAAAGTGTTTGTTTTTCATCCCTCTACACGATAGAAATCAAAACGAGGGAATATTGTGCAAAAAAAAATTTTGGTCAAAAATTTTCTAAGTGTTTTCACCAAGCGACTTTCAGAGCTCATTTTCAGCGAACGTGAAGTCCTAGACAGAAAGTGCTCAGATGAGTTTCGCTTTATTTTTAGGTGTACTAAGCGACGGAAAAAGAAAACTAGGCATTTTTAAGAATTTTAATTTTTTTGAAAAATTTTCTAAGTCCCAAATCCCTTGCACACCCTAAAGTAAATGGCCCGCGTCAAATCATGAAAAAATTACAAGTCCCTGGACGCTTCTACTGCTAATATCTGTCGATTGCTAACTCGTACCGGAAATGGTCAGAACAAAAAAATTGTACTCGCGTGTTCTAGACATTGGAATAAAGAAAATGAGATTTCTGAAACTTTCAGTTTCAGGTCAACCTTTCACTCACTATAACTGGAGAACGGCTGACGCTAGACGAAAAATGATCAGAATGAAAAGTGTTTGTTTTTCATCCCTCTACACGATAGAAATCAAAACGAAGGCATATTGTGTAAAAAAAAATTTTGGTCAAAAATTTTCTAAGTGTTTTCACCAAGCGACTTTCAGAGCTCATTTGCAGGCGAACGTGAAGTCCTAGACAAAAAGTGCTCAGATGAGTTTCGCTTTATTTTTAGGTGTACTAAGCGATGGAAAAAGAAAACTAGGCATTTTTAAGAATTTTAATTTTTTTGAAAAATTTTCTAAGTCCCAAATCCCTTGCACACCCTTTGCTACACTCCAACCAAATTAAATACTAAAAGACGTCTTACCCCTTCTGAAGAATCACTATTCATTTATTTGTTTGTAAAACACACTTTCTAATAAAAGTAAATAGAACGATGTAAAATTGTAATGAAGTTTGACATGTTTAATACCCCCAAAACACAATCACATTCAGTTCCTTCAGTCCAGTCGCGCACACTGCGCACAGTGACACAATGATGTCAACAATGTCAAAATACGAATTTTGAGTTTACATCTTCAAATTGAAATTGACGTTGATGGATTTCTATAAAATTGCCAGCACACGAAGTATCATAACTCACTAATATTATGATGCGCACGTTTGTGAGTTTGTGTGTATGTTTGTAACTCAATCACGTCAAAACGGTTGAAAGAATCGGGATGACATTTGGAGCAAGGCTTTTTATCCCACAGGAACGCAGGAGCAGCTAAGGGCAAAAGCTAGTTTTAAAAATGAAAACCACTTTAACCTATCCTATAAAGGAGCATCACTGTCTACCTACCCTTCAGGTATTAAAAAGCAAGGTAAAAGTACCTATGACTTTTTCATTGACCACATTGGACTGCATGGTATAGTCCAAAGAGTATTTATGTATAGGGGATAGTCGTCTAAGCGATTTTATGTAGGTATTTTGTCTACAAAATGTATTATGTACGTTACTTTCTCTATTTCTCTCTTATTTATTTCTTTATTTAGGTGGCAGCCAACAGTACCTACAGTTTCACCTACATAACACATTCGACAATCTAGGAATAACACATGGGCCATGTGCTATTTTTATTTTGTGAAAGCAAGCCCCTTGCAAAAATATAGTATTTGCGTATTTAAAGGAGAATGGCAGGTTTGTATGGAAGTTTTGTACCGCTATAAAATTTTGTATTAGTCATTGTTTTAACCAAGTGAATAATCTGAACGATAGATATTTTTATTATGAAGTTTAGAAAAAAATTACATATTTTTAGAACTTGGGGTTCAAAAGTTATTTCACTTTGAAAATGTGCAAAAGGTATGTTAAGGTGGTACCACACTTGACATTGCGTAGTCGCTTCATTTGTCCAAATATTTGTAGACTACGTACAAATGGCGTCCAAATAGTATCTCTATATGTAATGGCGTGCAAATATATAGCAAACAAAGAAGAATAAATCCTCCAAACATGTTCTTTTTTGGCCGAACACAACAAATACGCAACGTCAAGTGTAGAGCCACCGTAAGCAAAATATCTATTACAAATGACAGATGACAGTTAACTGAAAAATGTCAATGTGCTCTCATGTGGTTGTTTATTTACAAAAAACAAAAATCTAAAAATACTGCTCGCTACTCAAGTGACTATTACACTTTGTATTATTAGAAAGAAAGAAAAACCATTTATTTTGCTACGACACACAACAAGAATTTAGAAACCCAAAAAATAACCTATGGTGCGTCGCAGCGCAAAAGGCAATTAGGAATGATCCTGTTAATTCAGCAAGCATGATGCACCTATAGAGTTTTAAAGAGTATGCCTCACAATCTTTTTCATTTCTTAGGTGCCTACGAAAATGCAAATTCATAATGTAAGCGACTGTCATTGGGTAGAAGGCCTACATTTAGCAGTGGAAGTCTTGTGGCGGATATGATAAAACTAATGTCTCACTTCACCTTGAATCTTGCAGGTAGATAGTCTCAAGGGTCTCAAGTTAATTCGATTTAAACTTAGCTTAGCTCTTTGAGAAAGTATTTCTTCTGAAAACTGGTTGCTTAGCACGCATGTAAGGATTAATTTCTAATAAGTAAGTCAAATTAGTAGAATCATCAACATTTTCATCATTAAGTCTATAAGTGGCCACTGCTGACCGAAGCCTCTTCTCGCATGGAGGTTTGAGCATTAATCACCATACTAGCTCAATGTGGGTTGGTAATTCAAACTTATAATAAGAAATTATAAGCCCATGTTTCCTCACAATGTTTTCCTTCACCATTCGTCAGCGGTGTCTTTGTACTTTCTTAGATTATTGAATATACCAATAACTCGGAAAAAAGACACATTGGACAAAAGGTACTTTGCCGTTGGTAGGTTTCGAACCCGCACTCTCATGCATGAGAAGCGGGCTTCTTAAACCTCTGGGCCACCACATTACAACTAAAGAAAATGTAAAATGAAAATGAACATTTTTGGTATAAAACTAAAGCTATCTAAATTAAATATGGCATTTATTTTATAGATTGATTCTTAAAATCACTTTTATCAAGATGGAATATATAGTTACTTACTAGGTTAAAATAAAACAAATGTATTATTTTGAAATACTTTTATTTCATTGTATTCAGGTTGTTTCTAGGAGTACTTCATCTAAAAAGAGAACAGGCCGTGTCATAGGTACAGCAGACATCAATTGCTGATATCTGTAAACAAGTAAGATAACTGTAAATAAAGTAAACAAAAGTACATTTTTTTCCTTTAGTTTTATATGTTATAATAATAAGTCTGATTCCCTATCTTAAAATGGAAAAGATAAAAATAAATATTTGATTACATTACTTCATTTTATAACATTTATTATAGTTATTCGTATAACACAGATCATAGGAGCTCAAACAGCATGCTAATTAATAAATTATAATTATAACATGAGTATAAACCTATTAGAAACCGCTTATATACTCCACATAGATACATAATTATGTAGGTACATTATATTGAGAATGCATACCTGTTGAAGCTTTGAGAGCCGAACAACATCATCCGGCCTCATCTGTTCTACAAATGGCAATGTTAAAGTGAGGCTTAGTCCATGTTTACATAATACATTACTTCCTGATAGTGAACACTGTGAGGTGGTATGTCAGGTTGTGGTTTTATAGTTTCGACTCTTGTACGGTCTCTCAGTCAGTATGGAACATGATCTTCATCATGGGAAGTAAGCTAAAATAAGTAATATTATTAGAATATGATATTGACTTTAGATTACACTGTATATAGATAATAGTATGGTTAAATTATGCTTTATTACCTCTTGTGGCTGAATCCAATCAAATACTATATGAGCCAGTCTTTACTCCTGTTTGTTGGCGCCTTCAATTAAATTCAATTAAATATACGACACAAACATGCCAGTGACCAATTTGTTTGCTGGACATACTTTCAGCAACATCCCGATACATTGCTAATTGCCAGCAAGCATTGCAAATATGGTCGGTAGGAGAGATCTAGAATAAAAAGAATAAAATGATACATTATGGGTAGATAACACTATGCGCCTTCTTTTATTCAGGAACATGGTGACTTTCGATATGTTATGGGTAAACTAGGTACTTACATCTCTAGGATAAGTCCACATTGGGATATTGTTGACCACGTCTAATCTTCACTCTCATTTTCTAGAGCATGCCGTCTCATGTGCGACAAACTCTGAATGCAATTAATACACTGTAAATTCATCATCGCGACAAATAACAACACACTGCACAAAAAATGTAAAAAGTGTCTTTTCGCAATTGTCACAACAATGATGCCAATAATACCAATTTGGGCTACGGAGGAACGGTTGCCAAACTCAACGTATCACCAGATGAATAAAATAACTTCAAATTCAACAAACACATCATAACATCGCATTTGAAACAAACAGCAATGCGCCAGTATTGACAAATTAATTGTCAATGTCATCAAGACAAATGCCAGTTCAACATTGCCATAATATTCAAGTTTGTTAAAATGTTAATTATCATTAATAATCCATGTAAACGTAGATTTAGATTGGATGTAGATTTTTATATTTACTTATAAAAATGTTTGAAATGGAAAGGAAAATATTTCATTGATAGATATTAAAATAAATAAGTTTATGAAATAGCGAAATTCAATATGCTCTGATTTCATCTTTACGCATGGCAACTTTGTAAACGTCAATCGCGGTTCGTTTTACGTATAGTGGATTGCTTTTTATCATTATTGAAGATCAGTTTTTCTAGGGTTTCCCAAGTTTTAAAAATCTATTAAATATGCTAACATAACGTACTTAGGAGGTTCTATAATGACCCAATTTTTTAATGACAAATCTTTTTTTAGCGAAGCGGTACAAAATCTGCCGTTCTCCTTTACAGTTTCCTAATTTATCTTGAAAGTATAATGTCATAGTACCAGTCCAATAATAACAGAAATAAATAGAAAAGCATTCTCCAAACAAAAAGGCTATTATTAATTCACAAAAAATTTACACGATTTTACAATAAAGGACAAATACTTCAATAAAGTGCAAAGACACACACAAATCCTGTAAAAATATGCGCTGGAGTTGACGTAATGATTTCTACTCTCGAACTTGTGAACTTATGAAGACCGTCGTTTAAAAGTGACCTTCTAACTGGTTGTCCCGGATAAGCCACTAGCGCAACTTGTTCTTGTTCATCATTCTTTTTTATTTTTTCATCTAGCCACGCCTTAAAAGCATAAGTCGGTAAAACATCAGCCATCCTTTTGTTTACAGCGTACGTGGATGACATTTCTTTTGAACATTCATCTTGACCTTTTATGACAATACCCATAAGCTCCTTATCATACAAAACTGGGCCACCAGTATCTTTGAAACACGTTGTTACCTTAGTTTCAACGCAGTCAAAATAGACTTTCAAAACGTCTGTTACTTCTTCTGGTGAACGGTTTTCCATGCCAACATACTGCAGCTCTTTCGTTTGTCCAACATCAGCGTTTAATCCAAATCCTATCCCTTCCAAGTCGAGGACATTGCGAGGATTAGTGTAATTGCTAAGAACTATTTTGGTTGCGATACTATTATTGTGTTTCTCCGTATACACAATACCAACGTCTTTTAGAGAGTCCGTTCCAGTAAAAGTGGGGAATCGTTCAGTTTTTATCACGTGGAGAGACACAGTCGTGTCGTCTTTTTTATCAGTTGTTGTATTTAATAGAATGTAACTTAGTGGTTGTTGAGTACACTGCGCTGTTGTTAATATTAATCCATTGGCGACCACTACACCAGAACACAAGTATTCGTTTTGTTGAGACATTATAGCGGCCATGAATGGAAATTGCTGATGACCTGCCGCCAGTAACTCATGCATTTGACTATTTTGTCTTCTTGTGCACGTAATATTGTTGGGTTCACTTTCAACGGGAATGTCCAGGGATTCGTCTTTGGACTCATCGTTTGTTTCGCCGTTGTCATCTCTATTATCATCAACACTTTTTTTTACATTTTCACCAGCACACGTAGTAATAAAACCAAATGAAAATACAATGGGAATTAGAAAATGCAGAAAAAATGATCTAATCTTCATCATCAAAATTTGCTATTTTTTCCTAGAGGAATTCTAGTTCTTTTTTCGTATCTATCATGTCATGATTGTTTCTTTCTATTTCACGTTTTTTTCAAGCTGCCAGCAAAAAAATTAATTGTAGTTTCTTATCTGTGTATTACTCTGGTTTATTTACACGAACTGTTTCAAAATTAACCATTACATTGTTCTGTAAGTTCTAGCAAAAAATAGTACCTCGATGGTTATTAATTGGTCAGCAGTTACTTTATCCACACAACTTCTGATCACGAAGTCTCAGCCTCAGCCTGGTTTTCTTTTTTAGATGAAAAGAGCCTACGCACATTTACCCTGTTGGTAGATCCTACATGAAACTCATGCCAAAAAATTAGAAAGGGATAGTTTACTAGGTACATATTATTTCATCATGTATATGGTTTTGAACGTGTAAGCATAACGTTAAAGAAGTACCTTTCATAATCCTGCTTTCGTCCATTCTCTCAACTTGGGAAACTATTTTAGTACTTTTTGTTATCCGAGTTATTAACTAAATGAAGCGGCAGAGAGTGTCCGATTTTTGATTTCAACTCTTGCCCTGTGCTGTGTCGGGGCCACGGTATATATATATATTCTGATTGGCCATATGGCTGGCCACGTGTGCTCGCAACCCGGATGGGTTACATAGCATACAACTGTAAACACCTATACTTTTTACACACTTTGTCTCTGTGTCATCTTTTATACTGAACAAGTTCCTTTATCCAGTTATTCCTCACACTATCAGACTAATTAGCTTTAAAGTAAAATCAGAAATATTTACAATCAGTGAACCAGTACTTTTAGTCATTGAGTCTGTTAGTCTCTCCCTATACAAAAGAAAAGGGGGCGTTACCCTACGGGGCTACTATATTTTTCTCTCCAGGTGGCGCTACTATGGATCTCTCGTTTCTCGTATTTGACAGCGACCATGATGGGACATGAAAACCATATTATTATGAAAACCTCTTGTTATATTTACGCCATCTGATGACCAAAAATACGTAGCCCCCATTTATGTATCTAGCGCATATCTAGCGTTACCTTGAGACAAAAAATCCTTACCGTATATGAAAAAAAATGTATGGTCAATAAAAAATTGAGACTTGTGTCATTGCATGACATTGTCACGATGACAACAGACTACTGTCATCTGTCATTACCACACTTCAAAGGTTCACACTCGCACACACAGACGAGTTGATGATTTTATTTTTCTAGTGAGTTGGCCGATTCTGTGAGAATTTTTGTTTTAAATTAACATTGGCATACATCACCAAAATGTCGAAAAAGAAGGGAAATAAGAAAAATCAAGATTTTGATGAGGATTTCGAAGAGAAAAAGACTATTACAAGTGATTCTCACGAGGTAACCTCTAAAAGCAAAGGAAAAGGGAAAAAGAAGGGTAAAAGCAGTGCAGGAGACTGGAGTGATAGTGATGAAGATGTTTCGAAGAAGGTGGTAGCATCTGATGACGAGGATGTTCCGAAACCAGCGGCTAAAAAATCACAAAAGAAAGGTACAGACGGGCATATGTTATAAAGTAGCTTCAATCTTTTACGATACATAATTGTGATCTATTTTATAATATTTTATGTTTAAGCTAAACAATTTGAGTAATTTATATCTGTTTACTTATATTTTATTTACACCAGTACTGTTGTCACAGACTGTATAAAATGTATCATGTTTTATGAGCTTGTCATAACCATTTTATTATTTTTTGATTAATATTAATCATATACAAGTCATGTGAGCTCAATCTGTGGTGCAAAAAATGGATTTACAACTTACATTTTACAAAACTCTTACTAAGAATTCAATGTAGTACTTAATTTTAAATTTTTATAGTAATATTGCTCAATATTGTGTAATTTTAGCCAAGAACAAGAAGAAGGGTCATGACTCTGATGATGAGCAGGATGATACTAAATCTACTACCAGTAGTGCCACTAATGCTGCTTCTAAACCAGCAGCTAAAGGCAGTAAAAAGAAGAAAGGTAGGAGACTGAAATTAAAGTACATTTATATTATCAGATCAGTAGCTACTTCTGTGCCGTTTCACCTGCTCTGCTTGGCTCGTATCGATCACAGGGGCGTAGCTAGCGCCATATCTGCCGTATCAATTATACGGGGCCCCCGGAATAGGGGGCCACCAACGTGTGTAAGCAAACATCAGAAACTTCTCAATTTATATTTTATTTCAGTAATCACAAAATGCATGCGTTCAAAGGTTAGAAAACCTGGAATAAGGAAATCTATTCCATGGCAGAAACTTTGTTAAAACTATAGTAATCATTGTCAGATAATTTGAGTTGAGGCCTGGCCCGATCTGGAATGTTTTCCGGTTTTAACACAAATTATTATTTTATTATGTAAAAAATCTCTTCTTAAGAAATTTTTAAGTACCTTTCATAAGGGCCCCCAAAAAAATGTTCATATGGGGCTCCGCCAAGATACACTACGCCACTGATCGATCAACATCCCCTTCTGCCTCACCCAGGCGGGAGAAGTCATTTGACGACTTTCCCCCGTTAAAAAGAAAAATTTATTATTATTTAAATCGGACCAGTAGTTCCAAAGATTAGTGCAATCAAACAAACATACTCTTCAACTTTACATAATGGTATAATATACAAGATACATACATGCATATTGTCACACCTATCTCCCTGGTGCAGGCAGAGACAATGAATAAACAATATGATTTTTTTTTCTATCAAAAAGCAAAGGTTCACATAAGATAAATATTGTAATTAGTAAAAAATACACAACATTACCATTAAATTAAAAAAAAAATAGAGATACACATTACCTTTATGAGCTAGAGATAAAAAGTAAGTAATACATACTGGCTGTACTATATTTTTCGCCAATTTCTTGATAAAAAAAGTAATTTTACAAAACATTTTGGTTTGAACTTACTTTAGGTTTTAGTCATGTAGATACTAGAGAAGACACTACCTACACAAAATTATAATTTTGATATCCATTATGAAAATTTTTATTTTGTAAGTGCAGTTTTAAACAGATTCCTTCACATACTGAGCATTTTGTGTTACTTGGCAATATAAGATGTTTGTACTTATTTATATGTTGTTAGGGCTATATTAATAATATTGGCGTCGTATCAAAATTTCCGCTTTGCCAATGCTTTTTATGGAATGCTTGTTTTCAGGCAAAGGTAAGAAAGACGATGATTGGTCTTCTGAAGGTAGCGATGTGGAGCTCAAAGAAGTATCAGAAGAAGAAATTGTAAAGCCTGTTAGTAAAAAGAAAAGTAAGTTTAAACCTTTATTTATTTATAGTTTGTTAAATGTAACATTGTAATGTATTCAAATACTTTTATTGCTATATATAAGAACTTGTATGTGCCTTTTTAATTATAGAAGGGGTATATAACGAGGCAAACATGCAAATTGTGCACATAGACAATGTAACTTCATTTTTAACTGTAACATTTTGAGTTTTATATAGTAAGGGATGACCTTATTCACAACTGGGTCTAATTTCAACCTTTATGCTATTATTACTGTCATTTTCGGCACATTGAAAAATTGACAACAATACTTTGTTCCCCCAGAAGTTGAATCTAAAACCGCGACCAAATGAGGCAGTCAAATTTTAATTAACAATCATAATAAATACTGCATCTATTTATATATTCTTCTTACTTTCAGCTAAAAATAAAAAGAAAAATATAGAGGCGGAATCTTCTGATGAAGAGGATCATGATGATTCTAAATCAGTAGTTAGCAATGTCTCTAGTAATCCAGCTAAACCAGCGTCTAAGTCAAAGAGCAAAAAAGGTTGGTATCAAACATTTTAAAGTGAAAATAAAAAAAAAACATTTTCCTTTTACTTCTACGAAAGAGGTAGGTCCAGCTGCACATATTAATAAGTATTCATTATTCCTTGTTCAATTTTCCATGTAGTAAACACTAGCTGTGCCCACAACTTCGTCCGCGTGGAGTATTGATCCACAGCTCCTCCCCCGTAAGTGACAGCGTGATAATATGTAGCCTATATGTTGGCTCGGCCTTTTACTAATATTCATATAAAATTTGAAGTTAATCCATGAAGTACTTTTTGAGTTTAGCTTGGACATACATACAGAAAAACAGACAAAAACGCTAAAAAATATATTTTTGTGTTCAATATCGATTGCAGATCACTGCCCAAGCATATTTTTTTTTTTAAATTTCTTACGATTTTATTGTATGTATTACCATTCCAAATAATTGTTTTTTGGATAATAACTGATTTTTTTCCTTTTTAATAAAATTTTCTCTAAATGCCATGACAATTGAACAAGAATTCAAATTGCTCTACTGTTATGCTTGCCACCACATTACTTATACAAAGTATTCAAACAGTCCATAGAGTAAATATTTTGAGTTACAATTTTATTCATTTTTATTCCAGGTAAAGGTAAGAAAGAAGACTGGCCAGACGAAGAGAGTGATAAGGAATTAAAAATGGAACCTTCAGAGGATGAAGAAGAAATTGTTATCCCTGTAGCTAAGAGTAAAGGTAAAAATATGAAATATAATGCTAATTTAGTTACTTCTTGAGATAGCTACTGGTCATCCAATAGTCCCATTATACAGGCTGGAGACAATAATGGACCATTGTTGGAGACTAATAATACAATATTGACATTAAATTTATTGCCTTTTATAGGGAAAAATAAAAAGAAAAACAATATTGATGACATAGAGGCTGAGTTGAAGAAGTTTGAAATGAAAGACCCCGAGCCTGAACCAGAGGTGCCTGTTAAAACAAAGGTATGACAGACAATAATAATCACTCTTGAGACACACAAAATGTACACATAAAAATCACTCTATTTCAACAGTAATTAAGTTTCTTATTGTATTAACAATTGCTTATTTAATATTTGAAACATTTTATAGGATAAAACAAAGAAATCTAGTAAAAAAGAAGAAATAGTTGAACCAGAAGCCTCCCCTGATGAAGCTTCAATGGAGACTGAAGATAAAGTACCAGAGTTACCAGAGAAGGAGAAGGAGGAGCCGGCTGAGAAGAAAATGAGTCATAAAGAGAAGAAGAAGTTGAAGAAACAACAAGAGTATGAGAAGCAGATGGAGTTGTTGACTAAGAAGGGAGGGCAGGGACACAGTGATCTAGATGCTAATTTCACTGTTAGTCAGGCACAGAAAACTGCTGGTAAGTACTTACTTATTATAATTTTTAAATATCTATGTATAACATAATAATCGGATAGCGAAGTGTTTCAGAACACTTAATTAGCGCCACTTATGTCTAAGCCTTATACTATGGGAGGCGAAGTTGAGTAAGAATTGGATTTATATTACTTTTCCTTACTCTGACATAGAACCCAAAATCTAAGACAAACTTGCTTGACAGTTAAGCTTGAGACTATTAAATCAACAGTTTTGTTTTTTAAAAATAAGGCAAAAACATAATCCAAGCTACATCAACACATCAACCTACAAACCTTTAAACAATAAAACTAACAGTAAATTACTATTTCAGGTCAAATGGCAGCATTAGAAAACGCTGTGGACATAAAAGTCGAAAACTTTTCAATTAGTGCTAAGGGCAAAGATTTGTTCGTGAACGCTAACCTGTTGATCGCTAACGGTCGAAGGTACGGTCTAGTGGGCCCTAATGGTCATGGAAAGACAACGTTGTTGAGGCATCTGGCCCAACGTGCCTTCCCTCTCCCTCCTCATATAGATATACTGCTGTGTGAGCAAGAGGTCACTGCGAGTGATATGAGTGCTGTTGATACTCTCCTCGAGGCTGACGTTAAGAGGACTGGTAAGATTTTTGTTTTGTTCATATCACTTACAAATATTTAAAATTAGCAGCCTGCTTAAATAGTTTCTCTAGTTCTCGGTTCTAGTTCTCCGATTTACCAGGTGAATTTTGCTTCAATACAATAAAAATGGTCGCTAATTACAATCTTTGTGGTGTGTTCCATTTTTTAATTACAAGCTTCTTCGTGCTTTCGATATTACAGTATAAAAAGAAATTAATTGTTAATCCTCAACCTTTTGCTAATACAGTATCATTTTTCAGAATTGCTCAAGGAGTGTAAAGAATTGGAAGCTATCATAGAAAAGGGAGATCTTAGCAAACAAGATAGGTTAAATGAGGTTAGTATTTATGTATTCAAAATTTCATTATATAAAGATAAGTCGGGTTTCCTTCCAGAGTGGCAAGCACGAATAACTATCGCATTCGTAACGTAATAGTATCGAGCACGTTCGGCGCTCTGATTGGCCGGCTGGAATGAACCAACCAATCAGAACGCTTAACTCGCTTGATACTGTTACGATACGAATACGATAGTTATTCGTGCTTGGCCCTCTGAAGCTTGAACTCCAGAACGCACGAACAGATTTCCACGGTTTTGCATTCGTTGGAAAGGTCTCGGGTTCCGTGAGGTTTATAGCAAAGACAATTCAGGAAACTTTTCTTCATCTTTTAATCACCAAACGAAATGTTACATAAAACGATTCCATCTGGTGGCGTAACGGAGTTCGCGTTTGCTAGTTTTATTATATTAGTATTGTATTAGTAGTTGTTACCTTAGCAATAACATTAATATTTTGTATTCCAGGTATATGCAGAACTGAAGGCTATCGGCGCTGACTCAGCAGAGCCACGCGCGCGCCGTATCCTGGCCGGTCTCGGGTTCAGTCGGGAGATGCAGGACCGTGCCACTAAGAACTTTTCCGGAGGTTGGCGTATGAGAGTCTCACTTGCAAGGTATTGACATACTAATATTTTTTTATATTAAATTGATTTATTACGAGTCTTTTGGGCCTTAAAATCAGCGTTTCAATATAAAAAAAGTGTCCAGGTTTAGAAATAAAGTCTATCCCTTTTAATTGCAACTTAAAACCTATGGGGAAACGCTTTTTACAGAAAAAGAAATATGTAACATCTGGAATAGGTATCACATCTTGGTATTTTGTTTACAGAGCGCTGTATATAGAACCAACGTTACTGATGCTTGACGAACCTACAAACCATTTAGATCTGAACGCCGTCATCTGGTTGGATAAGTAAGTCCTCTTATAAATTCTTTCTACATTATTATGAGACCCGGTAGTGGTTCGAAACTAGTTGAGCACCCTCGAACATTTACGAGATAAGTTTATTCTATAATTTTTTTCCTATAAGCATTGCGAACTAAAGTAGACTTCTTCGATTAATTTGTAACTTAAATTAGGAAATATCAAGTTCAATCACCTAACCTAACATATTATTTCAGCTACCTCCAAGGTTGGAAGAAGACACTCCTAGTGGTGTCCCACGACCAGTCTTTCTTAGACAATGTATGTAACGAGATCATCCACTTAGATACACAGAAGTTGTACTATTACAAGGGCAATTACTCCATGTTCAAGAAAATGTACGCACAGAAGAGAAAGGAAATGATCAAGGAATACGAGAAGCAGGAGAAGAGATTGAAAGACTTGAAGGCTCATGGACAGTCGAAGAAACAGGCTGTAAGTTCGATATTACTTATTTTAAAGTGAAATTATTTATTTAATTTCACATCATATTATTACGCTATAATTTTATGAATGCATGGGTTTAGAACTCATAATATTCCCAGGCACTGGCACTAAATGATGAACACGACTCTTATAAGCTATTATCTGTCTAGTCTGCTAAATGTTGGTGATCATAGTAAACCCTAGTAAATCCTATGTAGATGGAATTCATAGTCCAACAAAAGACTGGCGCATCATCAACAGCATATAAATGCTCACTGCTGAGCAAAGCCTCTTCTCACACGGAGAAGGCTTGAGTATTTATCACCATGCTTGCTCAATGCGGGTTGGCGATTACAAACTTATAATTAGAAATTATAAGCCCAGGTTTTCTCACGATGTTTTCCTTCACCGTTTGCCAGTGGTGTCTAGATAATCTTAGAAAGTACACATAACTCGGAAAAAGTAACATTGGTACTTGCCGTTGGTAGGTTCCTGCACCCTCATGAGAAGTGGGTTTCTGGTGTAATTGAAATAAATGATATTCAATTTTGACTTTGACTTTGGCTCGATTCATATTGAGTGGACATCGTAAGTTAAACTGCCTAAGTTCATTTGCAAAACCTTGTCATTCAAGAGGTTCTCACAAATTCCTTGCGGATCATGTAGGAAACTATTTAACGGCTCCATGAAATCAACCTCCTTAAATATTTTCATGTCGATCATTAACAGGAGAAGAAACAGAAGGACGCGTTGACTCGTAAACAAGAGAAGAACCGAAGTAAGGCGCAGCGCGAGGACGAGGATAGCGCCGCGCCCACAGCACTATTACAGCGGCCCAAGGAGTACATCGTCAAGTTCTCCTTCCCCGACCCACCGCCGCTACAGCCCCCTATACTTGGGTTACACAGTACGTACTACGTAGATAATTCCATATTATTTTGGATATTAGTATGAAGATTAATCCGCGGGCGACTCGAAGACCCATTAGACCACTATAGATAGCGTCTGTTAGTACGTTTGTAGTAGGGTTGATGCCTGATCTGGAGCTGCAGGCAACCTAACGGATTATCGGGGCTCCGGCTCGAAGCAAGAGTAGAAACGGAGTGCTTTTTAGTCGGTATGAATTTGATACATTTTAAAAGTACCAAATTATGGTGAAATATGATGAAATACATAAATACTTTGACTTTGACACTTCCTTTCGCCTAACACAGGGCGGGAGGAGTAATTTGATGATTTTGTACCAATAGATGGCGCTATGCGTCTGTTAGGGGTAAGAAGAGGGTTTGAAGTTTCAACTGATGGAATCGTGGATACGATGATCGTATACCCGAAACTCACAAACAAACATACATATAAACATGTAAAAGTTCCCAAGAAAAAAAAAAACAAAAGTCAATTTACCATTTTTAATTAACAGATGTGTTCTTCAACTTCCCTGGTCAGAAGCCTTTGTTCAAAGATGTGGACTTTGGTATTGATTTGAATTCGCGTATCGCCATCGTCGGCCCCAACGGAGTGGGCAAGTCCACTTTCCTCAAACTGCTAGTGGGTGAACTGAACCCCATTCAAGGAGAACTTATTAGGAATCATAGACTGGTAAGTAAGATTAGATCTAAGTTTCTCAAAATAAAATGTACTCTATAAAATGCGTAGTTATATAGCGTATCTAAAATACGCTGATTAAAAAATGGCTAAACAGTAGTAATTGAGTACTTTCCTTAATCAAAAATAAATAATGTCGACTGTTCAATAAAATAGAATATTAAAAAATAATCACACTTTCATTAACTCGTCAAGTACCGGTTTTATAGACACAATTAAAGAACAATAGGTCGCGGTCACCGGTGACCGCTTGGTGTTTGACAGTTTAATTGGTTGTATGACTAACTTAATTTTAGTACATATATTTCCAGCAATTTTTTTAAGAATTAAGTATGCTGTTTAAGTTAAAAAACGTGACGTTGCAACACACAATCTCGTACAAAAATCATAGAAAACTGTAGTTTTTGACAGTTCGAAAAAAGTATTGAATTTGACTAGTTGGCATGTACCCAATTGATGTTGGTGGATTAATAATTAAATGACTTGCATGACAGAGCACACGTCGAGTCCACACACCAAAGTATGACAGACAGACAGTGCACTCTGTGACAGCTGTTGACCTTATATAGTACGATATAAAGTTGGGCCCATCACTTACTAATTTAGCAATGTTCATACATGTAACAGTAATAAAATCAAGTATATGCATCGTGAAACCGCGATGATATTGAACTAAGGATTAATCGGTTTCGATTTCTGGGTAATACAAAGTACTAATACTTGCATAAATATTGCGATAAATCATCTCATATCACTTGAAATCAATAACAGTTTTAGGTACACTTTTAAGCAAAAATATTTAGTTTACAGAAGTACCTATTTAATTAATTTGCAACCTTTTTACCCCCTACAGAGGATAGGTCGCTTCGACCAGCACTCTGGCGAACATCTAACGGCCGAGGAGACTCCAGCCGAATATCTACAGAGACTGTTCGGCCTTCAATACGAGAAAGCTCGCAAGGCGCTCGGTACATTCGGCCTGGCTAGTCACGCGCATACTATCAAGATGATGGATCTCAGTGGAGGACAGAAAGCCAGGGTTGCATTGGCTGAATTAACCCTAATGGCACCCGATGTTGTTATTTTGGTAAGTGGTTTTGAACTTTATTGTAGTTGGATTTAGGTTTAAATTTTATATTCAATAGTTTTAGTATTCAATGAACCTGGTTTGTGGGACGGATTTGTATTGTTAAGATAATAATGACTTAAATGACATTATAACCATGTTTTTTAATCATCGACTTCAAAAATGTGATCCATTTGGAACTGATTTGTTTTCCCACCATTAAAATAATTTTCGTAAACACAGGACGAGCCTACAAATAACTTGGACATCGAGAGTATAGACGCGTTGGCGGACGCTATCAACGACTACAAGGGCGGCGTGGTCATAGTGTCCCACGACGAGCGACTCATCAGGGAGACTGACTGCGCACTCTACGTCATTGAGGACCAGACTATCAATGAGGTACTAGCGTTATTTGTAACTTATTTACTACCAAGCTAAGAAGTGGCTGTGTTTTTCGCAACTATAATCTATATCTGTGCCAAATTTCATCCAGATTCGTTCAGTAGTTTTTTGTAAAAGATGCACAAACGTACACACTTACATATAGAATAGAAAACATTTGTCTCCACCTCTAACTTTTCCCGCAGTTGTCGTTATAGCCGATTATGAGACTACAACGATTACACGTTTAACTGAAACTGAATAATAATGTATTATATACTAGGCGTTATTCCAGACACACCAGACACACACACAGATAAAAAAAAACTAATGGAACTTTATCTTATCCCGATCTAGGAATCCCTATGACCCATTAATTACTCAGCAATCGCGCTTGTAGCCATTCGTTAATTATTAATAATTATATCGTTAATTATTAGCCATTTATTAAATAAATAACTACTTTCCCACAGGTGGACGGTGACTTCGACGACTACCGTAAGGAGTTGCTGGAGAGTCTCGGCGAGACCATCAACTCACCTTCTATTATCGCGAACGCAGCGGTCCAACAGTAATACGAATAAAAAACCCCAACTCGTTGTACGATTTGTTAAAATTATCTTATACATGTACTTATTTTTCCTTCCACTACTATGTACTATCATATGTACACAATACACTATGTATTATTATATAATGATCATCATATAAGCTACAAAACGTCAAGTTCTGCAATATTGCAGGAGACCCATATGGGTCTCCTTCAATTAACTTTGAGATCCTACATCTATTTTTGCTTAGTGGTATACCAACTATTTGTCATAAAACTCATTTATAATAAACAGATTTTAAAATGAATGAGGTTCTGAATTTGGTTTGTAGGTTTTTTTAGTATCAAGCGATTTGAATGGTGCTAAAGATTTGTTAACCTGTGCACATAGGTTGTGAATTCGGACTAGATAATGTTTAGAAATATGGTCTGTAGGTTTATTTCTTTATGTTCCTTGTACTAAATTATTTAATTTCAGTGCCATAAGTAATTTTGACAAATAGTACAGCGTGTGTATTGTTGAATATGATAAACTTTACTCAATCATTATCGAATTCATTAAAGTTTTAATGTAAAACAAGCTTGTATAATATGAGATTATTGTCATACAATCTCCAAGTGCCTATTTATATAGCACTCTTAAGTTCTAACACTGTCCATAACCACGATTTTAAATAAAAATTAATTGTTTTAGAATAAAATATAGTATTATTTTACATATTAAATTTTTGATATGTGTCAACCCTTATTCTCTGTTAAATGGCAACACAGACTTTCAAGATGTCTTCCACTAATTTCAGCTTAGAATATGATATCATCTATTGTTTATGGCCTGATGTTTGAACTTTTTATTAATTTTAATTTGCTACAAACTCACCCGTAGTTAGTATAATAAATTCAGAATAATCTAGAACAAATAAAATATCACACAATGTAATCGATTATAATAAAACACAGCGTTTTATTTCCAATTGTTTGTTTCTATCGAATAGTATGATATGTTGGGCAATGTGTCTTTCATTATTGAATTTAAATGTAACATATTTAAATAAATATTTATATACATTAATAAATTTTGTTACAAAATGTATTTTTTTATCTTTTATTTTTATGTCTAGTCTAGTTCCAAACCCCCAACGTTCCAACTATGTTTCTTGTGATTGCCTTTCTTAAAAAGGTACCTTTTGTTTTAGGAAATTAAAAATGTTTAAGTTTGACTGCATACGGTTGTTGTAGTAGCTGGGCAACTGGCTACTGCGCAATGAGTCGAGGGTTCGATTCCCTCACGGAACAACTCTTTGTGTGCTGTTAACAGATTCTCGTTACGTAAATCCATTTTTGACATTGCACGAGTTATAATTTTACGAGAAGTACATTTTTATTTGAACTCTCAGAAACAATGAACAATTCAATATTCCCTTCAATAAAATATCACAGTTACGGTGCGGTGCGGTGCGTATATAAAATAGTGATGTCACATTTGCTACGAGCACGGACTACGAAGTGCGTAGCCAACTATGTAAAAGTTTCGCGACATGTGCTACGGCGTAGCAACAACAACGAATTCAAAGAAATTACATCTTTTTGGTACTTACAGGTTTCTTATTGTGTACGTCAATACGTACTTATTTATAAGTTAGGCGTACGAGCATAATAGTTATCATGTTATAGGTACTTAGGCTCATTCTACAATGCCCGATCAGATTTCTGATAGTTAAATTGACGGATAATTTGACAAAAGTATTTTTTATGTATCAGTTAGGCTCTCAGAAGCTTAAAATTAAGCAACACTATGAAAATAATATATGCCCACTACGTAAATGTGAAGTCGTATCCCAATACAATATTTAAAGTATCAGAAAAAGCTAGTTTTTTTTAGGGGGCGTCCATAAATTACGTGAGGTGTTTTTTTAAATTGTCTGTCCCTCCGTCCCCCATGGTGAGATTTCGTGAGATTTTTCAAAATGTTGGTTTTTCACGTAATTGCGTTGGATTGTTATTGCAAAAAGAAAAATAATCCTGTGAAATTAAGCATGTAAAATCTGGAATAAATGAACTATGAAGTCGATAAATATAGTACATTTTTCTTTGTTTCTATGAGAAAAACAATTATGTGATATTTGCCGAGACTCCCCCTCTCTCCAAAGTAAGATAAGATGAGATTTGAGTCTACCCCCTCCCCCCTTAAACATCTCACGTAATTTATGGACACCTCCTTACTAGGTTTATTCAGAAAATATGTACCAAGAAATATTAACAGGATAAATACTTAAATAGTCACTAACTGGCAAAGCGTTGTGTTGTCTTATTAGAGAACGTATAAGCAAATGTCTAGAGAACAATGGGTGCGCATTATTAAAGCTAACAGATGTAGGTTCGAAGCTCGATCGGTATGTCCCCAGTAAGTGTTCGTTAAAACGTTTCGCGAGCCACCGTGCTATTAACTACGACATTTGTATTATGTTAGGTAGGATGCATATTTACTAGTAATTACAAAAGTATAGTAGTTATTTCTTTCCTATTGTAAAACCACTGAATGGGTATTAAAATGTTAGTATGTTTCGAAAAAACAAAATAACAAGAATATGGGGGCTCCGGCTTGAAGGGCAGGAGTAGGAACGGGGTGGTTTTTAGTCAGTAAGAATCTGACACTCCCTCCCGCTTCACCTAGGCGGGAGATGTCATTCGATGATATTCCCCACTTAAAAAAATGGCTCAAACTCACGAACTTACTTTGTCAGTGCTTTTTCCAACTAACCTTTTGTGTATTTAGTAGATACAGTTAGTAGGTATCTACTCGTATCGTACTGTTTCATTTAGGTAGGTACCTACTTCGTATCCTCGTATATGTACCTACACAGCTCACAACTACCTACATACCTACTACGTCGAATACTTATAGATATGTACCTACATAAGAACTCCATCTCAATCAATACGAATGCAATTATTTCAACGAAAGCATTCCGATTAATTAATTTTTCTATGTAACAATCTCGGTTCGGAGCGCAAGTTTTTTCCTCAATTTGCCAGCAGCCTTTCGCCCCTCCATTACAAAGTTCTCAGCTTCATTAGAGGATTTAAAACGCAAATTTCCTTTTCGATTGTAACTTTTTTCTACTTCTTGAAAGGAACCTTCTTTTAAAGTTGAAAGAAAATTAGTGTCCTCCCCTTTGAGGGGCGCGGATGTCTTTTAAGAGTTTCATTTGGATACTCGACTTAATCTGCTAGAATAATAATGTTTCCGCTCGTGAATTACGTGAAAATATTGTACGTTCTCGTTTTCTTTGATTTGGGAGGCACATTAATATTGTGTGCCTGTCTATCTGATGGACAAATGCTCGGTAGAAAGTTTGCAGTGCATAATAGGTAAGTAAACTGCTCAGTGAGAATAAGCTCTGTCTTTAATTATTTACGTGAATCGTGTTTTAATTTAAGAAATAAATACATTAAATAAAAAACAAAATAGGAACTACATCATTTCAAAATTGTTTACTTAGACAAAAACAAATACCACAAGACCGCACGAGATTTCCTTTCTACGCACGCTAAACACATTACTGCGAATTATCCACTAACAAGCTAACAATGAGAGGCTTATCATCACCGCAAGAGCCTATTACTGTCTCGAGAGCATCCCCGCCCCTCCTTACGACGTCACTAGCCCCTGTTACCTTGTCACACTAACCATCCCTCACATAAAGCAAACAATATGAGGGACCGACACTGCACTCGAACTGCGACAGGGTTGTAAAACTTCTCAACGAAATAATTTCATACAATGTGTACACAATAGAAGCGATTATACTCTCCCCCGCGACATGATTTTATTTGTGCAGTTATTGCGTCGCCGAAAAGATATTTAAATTTCATTAGGTTTGTTTTACACTTAATTTGTGAGGGGAGTGTTGTATTGTATCGTAGGGGTGGGGCCCCGTTATTGCTACATTCGTGTTGCCCTCTGTATTCCGACGGCGATTTGAATTTAAGTAGATACATGAATCAGATAGTCACCCTATTACAGCGTTATCTAGCTATTGATCACTTTTAAACTAAAGATTAGTGCGTTAACAACTGCCGTGGAGGTTTTGTATATCATGGACAATGGAACATATTAATAAAATACGAGTGTCATAGTTTTTTGACTCGTTGTTTTAATAATAAACGGGTGTAAAGTGCTGATCCAGGGTCGCCTCGCCTCATGTAATGGAGTGGGTAGGTGGCCAGCTACCCACTACTGGTCTAAGTGGGGATATTTCGCAGACGCAGACTCCATTAGTGGTGTTCGCCGGACTGTCACAATCATTTTTCTTTCCCGCCGCCGCTAATTCTCAACCGCGCTTCGCTGGGCAAGTACAGCGACCATTGTGTTTGATACTTTGACAACTTATTTATGGAGCTTTAAACCTGACAGTATCTACTCCATGAAATAATGACTGACGAAAATCAAATATTATTCTTCTATATTATGTTATGTTATGAAAGCTAAAGATACTTCTATGCAAGAATTACAGAGTAGAAATTCTGATAAGTCCTATATATTTTGATGCCCTATCCTCAAACTACTTTTTCAAATAACAACTTAAATTTTACCACATGGAGTGCTTTGAGGACCACGGGGAATGCTTTGAGGAAGTGTTTGACCTGATACCTGCTGCATCTTTTCGCCATCGACTCCCACGACAGCATATGCATCCCCATCATATAGATAGTTGGCAGGCAACAACTGTGCGCTTGTCATGTAGCTTTCTGCGTCGCACAGCAAAACTGTGGAATGATCTGTCGTCGGCGGTATTTCCGGACCGATACGACTTTCAAACTTTCAAGAAAAGAGCGTATTCCTTTTTTAAAAGCCAACAACATGACTCTTCTGGTGTTGCGGGACTCCATGGGCGGCGCTGATCGCTTTCTTTTTTACATTACCCCCTGTATGTCATAATATAAATTTACAAAATATAAAAGCTATGAACCGGTAAGTAGAAAAAGCGAAAGTACCAAGATTATTCAGCGAGAAGTCGTTCCAGG